GTGGAAGCTGTTTTTCTCTGTAAATCTGATCTGCCTTTCCATTAAAAAAAGAAGAATTCTTCACCACAACCATGGCTAGTTTTATCGTCATGAACTGATTAGGGGGCCAACACTGTGGAGCAGGTCAAGTTGCTGCTCATGATACCAGCAGCCATATCCAAGTGCTTGTTGAGTCCCAGCTGCTTGCCTTCCAATCTAGTTCCCTGCTAATGTACCCGAGAAAGCAGAAGATGACCAAATGCTTGGATCCCTGCCATCCACCTGGCAGTCCTGGCCCTGGGTTCAGCCTGGCCCAGCCCTGGCTGTTGCAGGCATTTGACTGAACCAACGCACTGGCGATATCTGTATCTTTTCCTCTCTCTTGTGGGGGTCTGGGGGTGTTGGCCTGCAGAGGACCTGGTGGCTTGAGCCCAGATAGGCAGAGTGAGCAAGAGGATTTCTGCACTTGTTTGATATGGGGTGGGGGTAGCATGCTGGCCTGGTGTGCTAGCTGACTAGGTTTAGGGAGCTGTGAACGTTCTTGGGTCTTGGGTGGGTCAGGAGGTAGGGTCCCAGGCCAGTGTGCATGCCAGGAGCTTAGGTTTCTGGTGGATGGGTAGAGCTCCAGGCCAATATGCCACATCACCAAAAGACTGGGCTGGGGAACCCTTGGACTCCCAGGCACAGAGACTGTAGATTGTTCAAGGAAGGGAGTATGGGGATGTGCGGGAGGAAGGACCACTGAGGGCGTACACTGCGGGTGAGGAATGACTTCTGGCGGACTTCCACTAACAAGGCCACTCTACGTGCAGGTAAGCAAGGGGGCTGAGACTGAGCGGTCTGGAGGGAGGGAAGCTGAAGAACCTTTCTGAGTCAGACCAATGCACCCACCTAGGTGGGAGACTGAGGTGGGCTAGCTGGTAATGACCACGACCAACTACCACCCACTGGTGCACCTTAAAGCTAAGGCTGGCAGCCTACCTGGCAGAGCTGGATCACAGCACCTGCCAGTGAGTTTCAGAACAGAAGATGGGTAATGTTAGGCTGGGCAACGACACTAACCAGCATGTGAGAACTAGGTCTGGAGGCAGATTCTGTGGAGGATATGTGAACTCACTCCTGTAAGACTGTAATACCCACTGGTTTACTCAAACGTTGGAAGTAGCAACGGGTTGAGCTAGGCATGACCATGGGACCCCGCCCCCCCACACACACACATTGCATACAGGGGTTGGGAACAGGCTGGGCTGGTCTTGGCTGCAGCACTCATAGGGGCACCTATGAGCAGGGTGTGAGGCAGGTTAGGCCACAACATCCATCAGCACACACAAAGACTTGAGACACAGGGGACAGACTATGCCATGTAAGGGCCTAGTCACGTGTGAGATCTTGGTCTGGGAGTGGGCCTGATGAGGGAACTGGGGGAATTCCCCTGGTGAGATGTAGCTCCCACTGGTGAGCATGTGATTCAGGCCTGGGGCTGGGCAAGGCAGCTCCATTTGTCAGCAGGTATGTGGGTTGGCTCAGGGAACAGACCAGGCAGGGCCAGGCCAAACCATAGCACACTGCATGAGCAGGAGCCAGCATGGGGTGCAGGCCACACCAGGCTGGGCTATCACACTTACTGGTTTGCATGAAATCCAGGGATGAGGGCAGGCTGAGCAGGCTTAGGATGCTAACCCACCAGCAGGAGTTGGAAATGGGAGTGGGCCAGGATGGGAAGGCTGCAGCATCCAATGGCAAAGGCCAGGGTATAAATGAAATATACAGAGCTGGGTCAGAGCAACCACCAGCATGCACAAGATCTGTGGCTGGAAGTGGGTCTGGTTTGGGAGCTAAAGGGACACCCCAGTTGGGCTGCAGTTCCCATTGGTGAGTGCGAGAGATGGAATGGGGTGATGAACTGGGCTGGACATGACTGCATACACTTTAGAAAGTGTTTGGCCTAGGTTTGCGGTATGCCAGACTGAGCAAAGCTCCAGCACCTGCTGGTGCTTGGAAGAGCCAGAATGGGTACAGGACAGGGTGGGCTAAGTCTCTGTACACTATGAACCATGTGAGAGCTGGGTGTAGAGGTGGGCCAGGATGTAGCATCCAATTGTTAAGAGCTAGACTGGGTGTGAGCTGGTCAGGCACAGCCACTGTTCCTGCCAGGACAGGATGTGGGCCAAGTCAGGCTGGGCCAAGAACCCACAGGTATGAGTGAGGTCTGCTGCTGGAAGGTAACCTGATAGAGGAGCTTGGGAAACTGCAGCCCCTGCAGGTGAGAATCAAGATTGGGAGCAGCATGGATCAGGTTACAGTACCAGCCAGCATATGCATGAGTCAGGTCTGAGGATGGGCCAGACTTGGCAAGTTCATAGCACCCACTGGCAGATGTGAGAACCAGGACTGGGTACAGGATAGGCAAGGCTGGGCTGCAACATCAGCCAGTTCACATTAAGGCCTGGACTGGGTTCAGTCCAAACTGGGCTAAGCTGCAGCACCCATCGGCAAATGACGAGGTGAGGCGGATCATGCCAGAATGGGCCACAGACCCACCAGTACATATAGGACCTGGGGGGCGGAGGGGGCAGTGTGAGTCTGGTAGAGGGGCAGCAAGGATTCTCCTGCTGGGCCACTGCTCCTGCTGGTGAGCAGAACTGGGACCAGGGGCAGATGAGGCTAGGCAGAGCTACAAAGTCCATTGGCCTACCCGTGAGCTGGGTTAGGGGAGAGCCAAGCTGGGCTAATCGACTATATCCACAGGTGCAGACATGAGCCAGAGTAAGTGAACGCTGGTCTGGGTTTGCTGCAGCATGAGCTGGCAAGTGCTGGAAACAGAAGCAAGTTCTGTCAAGCTGGACTACAGACCCACCTGGAAAGTGCAAGATCTGGGGCTTGGAGTGGGCCTAGCAGGGAAACTGTGGGCACCCTTCTGATGGGCTACAGCTCCCACCAGTGAGCATGAGAACCAGGGTTGAAGGCAGGCCTGGCTGGACAGGAGGTAGCATCTGCCAGCTTGTGTAGGGTAGATACTGGAGTGAGTTGGGCTGAGCTAGGCTGCAGTACCCATTAGGGTATATACAAGCTAAATGGGATATGGAACACACAGGACCAGTCTGTTGCACAAACTGGCAAGTGTAAGAACCAGGACTGGTGGAGGGCCTGGTGTGGCTATTGGGGGTCACTGACTTGGCTGCAGTTCCTGCTGGTATACATGAGGGCTAAGTGGTGCGCAGGGTTGGGCTGGAAACAAAACTGACCCATCAACTGCAACCACCAGTGTAGGCTGATGTGGATGATGGACTGAGCCGGACTCTGTACTGGCTAGCACACACAGAAGTCAAGTCTGGGGTTACCTCAGACAAAGTTACTATGGGGATCCCTCCAACTGAACCGCTGGACTCAGAACTCCAACCACGGGGAGAACTGCAGAATCTGTGATCTGACTGCAGAGTGCATGTATCAGAACCGGGCCTTCTCAGTTGCTGACGCCTGGGCAGTGAACTGCATGCCCAGGGGCACATGGGGACATGACAACCAGTGTACTGAGGCCTGCAGCAGGCATCTAGTACCACAGCAGAGGGTGGAGGGCAGCATAAACTGGACAAATCTTCCAGCCAAACTTGGACGGCAAGTATGTGGGCAAATGGAGAACCTAAGGTGGACTACGTCAGGCAGCGGACTTTAGAAGTATTTCCTCAGTGTTTAGAGCAATGAAATCAACATCTCAGAACTAGTAAAACCACTTGAGCAGAACGCTCAGAGCATGCTCCATATTGGGAGCCTGAGACAACATCGCTGATGTGGTTAGGATGCTGGGTGTGGCTTCTCCCCTTCTCTCCTCTCTTCCCCCAGTTACAGGAAGAGAAAAAGGACATTGGAAACAATGGTCTCATCTACCTTCCCCCATTCCTTGACCCTTCCAATCTTAATCAGTGGTGCACACAGACATGTGTCCTTCTCAACTATGTAAACATCATCAAAAATAAAATTTTAAAAAATATCTAAAAACCAAAAAAGAATAAGAAACTCATGATGAACTGATTAAATAACAAAACGTCATGGATATTTAGTTTCATCTCAGCAGTACTGGTCTTACGGAAAACATATGTTCTCAAATCGGGCACTGGGGCGATGTTTGTGATGCCACCATCCTGTATCGGGGTGCTCTGCTTTTGATCCGCTCCCTGCTAACAAACCTGGAAAATCAGAAGAAGATGACTCACATACTCGGGTCCCTGCCACCCATACTAGAGACCCAGATGGAGTACAAGGCTCCTGGTTGCAGTCAGGCGGGAAATGAATCAATGGATGGAAGATCTCTCTTTCTCCTTCTCTGTCATTTAAAATGACAGCGAGACAGAGGAAGAGAGAGAGATAGAGAACCTTCTATCCGCTGGTTCACTCCCCAAATGGCCGCAACGGCTGGAACTGGACCAGTCCAACGCCAGGGGCCTCTTCTGCATCTTCCTCATGGGTGCAGGGATTGAAGGACTCAGACCATCTTCCACTGCTTTCCTAGGCACACTTGCAGGAAGCAGAATCAGAAGTGAAGCAGCCAGGATTCAAACTGGTGCCCCTGTGGGATGCCAGAGCCACAGGTGGCTCTGGTGCCAGCAGAACAAATAAACCTTCAAAAAATCCAAAACTAAAAAAATAAAAGCATATACTCTCTAAAACATTACTGAGACTAGAACTCCAATTGAGAATCTTTCAGAGACAGGTTACTTGGGTAGGAAACAATCATTTGAAAGCGGACTTCTGTCCAAAAAGCTGTGTACGTGTTAGGAGCACACACTGCCAGTAGCTTTGACTTCGTGGTAAAAACAAATTAGTGGCAAATGCATTCTACCCAGGCTAAGGTACCGTTGTAAAAGCACAAAGATACCAGGTGATGTTTGGGGTTTAAGGCTAGAAATGGGCTTCTTAAAGAGGCCCTTTACTCACTTGTTCCTTGGGACAAGATCAAACGAATCTCTGGTTGGGTTGGAAGTGACCAGACCCGTGTCGCCTCAGACAGCATCTGAAACTCTCACCTCATAGTCTTTCCTCGGAAGGATCTCATCCTCTTCCTCTTGTGTTTCTCCAAGGATGGTCTAGAAAAATGGATCCACAGAACACACAAGGCTTTTTAGAGGCTAAGAGTGAAAGGACACACAAGTATGTTCTGAAACCAGCTGCCAGTTTCTAAATCAGCTGCAGCCATTACCAAACACCTCAACAAAAAAAAAAAAAAAACTGCGTTTGAGATGGGGTGCCCTGGGGGTGGGGAACCGGTGGTTCAAATAAGCACTGCTTTTCTAAGGGCACATCAGACAAATAACCACCCTGGGTTTCCCAACGCCAATCTAAAGGGAGGAGAGGAAAAAAAAAATCACGCTCCATCTGACATTGTGTCAAATCAGAAGGCACCTGTCAATTCCGGGGATACAGCGGCTCAAGTCTTCCCAGGTTGCTTTGCAGAGGGAAGCTGGATTGTCAGTGACCCAGAAAGGGTGAGGGCTGGCAAGAGGGAGCCAGCTGCAGGGGAAGCGTGCAGTTCGGATTAAAGGGCGCTTGTTTCCTGCAGAACCCCTTTCAGATGCAAATAAGAAATATACGGATCCAGGATGCACCATCCTTAGCTTCCAGACAGGATGGGGAGAAAAGATTCCAGAATCGGGCGCGGTGAAGTCAACAGGCGCAGGGAGCCCGGGCTGCGGTCCCCAGCCACCCCACACCCCCGCCCGCGCTGCCACCTGCGGGGCCCGCTCCGCACGGCCCCACCCCCGGCAACGCCTCGCGCCGTCCCTTAGCAACCGCCCCCTCCCCAGCCCGGCCTCGCCCACGCCTCACCAGCTCCTCCGGGGTTCGGGTCTCGCGCTCGCCGCAGCAGCAGCACCATCGGCAGCAGCAGCACAAGGACCCCCTGCACCCCGCCATCTTCCTCCTTGACTGCACTCCGGACCCTCCGCCAACCCCCTCCCACCCAGGATCCGAGTCTCACGTGACTGGCCCGGGAGGGCCACGTGGTCCTCTAGCGCTTGGGGATGCACACAGGGAGTGGCTGCAGACGGGTGGGGCGAGGTCCCGCGTCACATGACGGTGGAGGACCGGGTTCCTAAGAGGCAGCTGGACGCGGCCATATTAGAGGCGGGACTTCCTGTCTCCTACACGGGTGATTTCCTCCCGGGTTCGGCCTCCCTTGGCAACCTGACACCCGGGCCTTCCCCGCCTCCCCCCGCCGTGCGCCCTTCCCCCACTGCACTGGGTGTCAAGCAAGCGAGGACAGGAGGGTGAGTGATGGTGACGCGTGGGGTGACCAAGGAGGGACACCGCGGAGCCTGGGAGAAGCCCCCGGGAGCGGGGACTTGCCTGTGGGCGGGAAGCTCTGGAGGCAGACCCGGCCCCTGGACACAGGGGGACGGGGGCGTCTCTCCCTCTGCACTGTCTTGAAGGGGTACTGGCGTTAACCGCTCACCACAGTCGCCCCCACACTCCTGAGGGGAGCTCTTAGTTTGGCTCCCCCGCTTAGACCGGTGATGAGGGGGCTGAAGCCAGGGTTAGGACCCCTGCCATGACACAGTGACCCGGCCCCATTGCTGGACACCACCGGCTCCCCCACCTTTCCAAATGGTCTCCCTGCCGATCCCTGAAAAAAAAAAAGTGGGCCACTGGTGCTGCAGTGTGGGTTGGTGCATAGTACACGTCAGAGGGCGAATTAGAAAAGGGGGTGACGGCGCCGGCCCCGGAGCCTCAGTGACGGCTGTTGGCTGCTGATTCCCATGCCAAGCCCTGCGGATGCGGCCGACAGGATCTCGGGGTCCGGTCTCGGGGAGCTGGCGCAGGGGAGGGGAGGCAAACCCGCGAGCCGAGCTCACTCGTTAGCCCCAGTAGCTGTTAGAGTTTCCATGAGGCAGAGGAATCTGGCACAAGCCTGGCGGCCCAGGACTGCAGTAAACCTTGAAAGGCTTGCAAGTGTGCAGCCACCGGTTAACAGGCAGTGCTCCTGGTGCAAGACACAGAGAGCTGGCTGCTCTCATTGCTGCCCCTTTCCACTGCCCGCCAGAATCAGAGTTTCCAGGAGAAGTTCTGGGTCTGGAATCAGCGCCCTGACGTGGGCTGCATCCTTGCAGGCAGTGTGCGCTTGTGTGTGTCATAGGAGGGGAAGTGGTCCCGCCAGAACGCTGGCCTTATGTGGTTGCTGACAACCAACTTAACAGTGGGCATGCCCTGAAATGCCTGTTTCTTTTTTTGCTTTGGGTCACCACACAGCAATTTCCACTCTTTGGTGTTTGCCCATTGTGTAAGAGTGGGGCTCAGTTTCATTTGCTCTGTCTTCCTTTGCTCACCGCACTGCCAGGTGGCAGCAGGCCTGCCCGAGGGCACGGACATGATGGCGCTGCAGTCACTGACCTTCCTGGACTGCAGTGGTATGAGGATTGCCTGCAAGGCAGGCACTGAGGGAGGGGGTCTTTGTTCTGAGTTGGACAGAAACTTCCTTTTTTAAACCTGCTTGGACCAAGCTCAACCCTCAACGTGTCTTTTTAGGGTAGCTTGTGCTCAGGAGAAATTTCTGCTCAGCAGGCCCTGCCCCTGGCATCCTGCTCTAAAGTAACAGGAGATGGGTCAGGCGTGGCCAGCCTGAGCCAGCCATTCCTTCTTTGGAGAGGGATCCAATGACCCTGAGTGGCCGTTGGCTGCATCTCCGCCAAGCCCAGCTGGCCTCCTGCCCCTGCATCCCCCTCTTTCCTTTGGTCCAGCGCCTTCTCAGCACTGAGCCTGGGCCCTCCCTGGGGCCTGGAAGCCTTGCCTCCGCCCCCAGAGTTGGCTTCCTTTATCCCAGCTCCGCCCAACTGGACACACCCGCTGGGGAAGGTTCTGTGTTCTTCCCCACTGGTCCGGGTCTGAGCTGGCAGAGATGGACCGGGGAAGAGCCAGGGTCCTCCCAGCAGGACCCCACTGCCTCTCCCTGGGAGCGTGGACCTCTGAGGCCCGCAGTGGTAGATCTTCTGTGCCACCCTCCCGCAGGTAGCTGTGGGCTGAAGGGGCATATTTCCGTGCTGGGTGGGGGCGGTTGTACAAGGAGACAGGCAGCACAGGAGGGCAAAGCTCAGAGTCAGGCAGCCCAGGTGATTGTCACTTGTCGAACCTGGAGCCACAGGGCAGGGACAGCGTTAGCCGGACCCTCCTGGCCTTCCTGCGTGGAACTGCAGCATCCCTCGCCTGAACCTACCACTTGGGTGCCTGGATGTGCTCGGGGCTTGGCTGCCTGCCCTCTGATGCCCCCTGCCCATGTCCCCGCCCCATGCAGCAGAAGCCGGGCCATGGTGAACGAGGCTCAAGGGAATGGCGGCCTCAACCCCCGCTCAGAGGGCAGCAGCAGTGGCAGCGAGAGTTCCAAAAATAGTTCGAGGTGTTCCACCCCTGGCCTGGACCCGGAGCGGTGTGAGAGACTGCGGGAGAAGATGCGACGGAGGATGGAGTCTGGGGACAGGTGGTTCTCCCTGGAGTTCTTCCCACCTCGGACTGTTCAGGGGGCTGTCAACCTCATCTCCGGGTAAGCTGGCTTAAAGGGAAGGTGGGGCGGGGGGTGGGGTGCTGCCATCAAGGAGAAGGGATGAACTGGAGGCGTTGAAGCGACAAGGTTAAGGCGGGGAGGTGGATGAGAGCAGAGATGGGAGAGGCCACTTGATGTCACCTTCGCAGTTTGGAGTTCCTCTGGGCATCAGGCATATTTTTAAGATACTCTATAATGGCTTAAAAAAAAATGTTGATGCTTCCGAACTGCATTCTTTGGCAAAGCTTGGGACCGTGAGCGCTGTGTGGGAGGTCAGAGTGGTGGTTTAGACTGTTTGCAGCAAGTTAGAGATCCAGCTCTGTCTCTTGAAATCTAGACATGCCAAGTGAATTTCGTTAGCACTTTTTGAATTACAGTTCTTTTTTCAATGTTTAGATTTTTCCCCCCATTTGCACTTCTTGTGTGACACACCCAAAGTTTGAACGTTTAAAGCCCAGGCTATTTAAATACATGTGATAGAGTGTTGTCAGACAAACACTTCCTGGTTTTGGTCCCTGGGTTTGGTCTAGTTCAGGAACTTGGCCCGAGTGACAGCAGTGACGAGTCTTGTGTCTGGTGACCTGTGTTTCCCTGTTCCTGAAGTGAAACTTTGCTTGTGACTCTGAGGATTCCTCTCCCTTTGGGCCAGCTCATTGTCCTCTCAGCCGTGGAAATGCCTTAACTCAGACAAAATGAAGGGTCCTACATGGTAGCTTTGTTCCATGTGGTCCCTGCTGTCACAGTAGTTCTGACAAGACTGAGTGCTTGCTCTGTGCACCCCAGTTCTAGGGTCTGTGGGGTCACCGGTCTTGACACTCCCCTGGTGCTGTTGTGGAGCAGGTGCTGTGCTTGCATGTCTGAGACGCAGAGAGCCAAAGGAGTGTACTCAAGGTCATGCAGTTCAGAGGGAGCAAAACCAGGAGGTGCGCAGGCTTGCTGGGCCTCCAGCTGGCCCTCAGGCCCCAAGGAAGGCAGCAAAGGGTGGTGTTGCCCGTCTTCAGAAGGACATTCCCGGCAGGTTTGACCGGATGGCAGCAGGCGGCCCCCTCTTCATAGACGTGACCTGGCATCCGGCAGGAGACCCCGGCTCGGACAAGGAGACTTCCTCCATGATGATTGCCAGCACTGCCGTCAACTACTGCGGCCTGGAGACTGTGCTGCACATGACCTGCTGCCGGCAGCGGCCGGAGGACATCACAGGCCACTTGCATAAAGCCAAACAGCTTGGCCTCAAGAACATCTTGGCGCTGAGAGGAGGTGTGAGCTGGCACATCCCCCCTCCGGATTGCCTCTTTCATGGCAGGTTATCCTGACCCTGGACCAGTCCTGCTCTCTGTACCCCATGTTGAGCTCTCTCTCTCTGCATCCCCCCTTTTAGCAGCATCAGTGGGCAGTGTGGATAGTGAGTCTGCCATGGGCACAGAAGGAGTCGCACATCCACCTCCTTGGCCTTGCAGCCTGGGTTCAGGCAGGAAGGTGGCCAGCCTCTGATAACCCTGTGCCCTGCTGCACAACTCATTGATCCCTGGCTGTGCCCAGCATTTGGCCTGGCCACGAGCACAGTTCTGGCCTTTGTCCAGGCATGAGAACAGCTGCTTTGTCTCTGGTGCCTGCTGAAACAGGCCGCCCGAGTGTGAGAAGACGGACTCTGAATGGTGAGCACTGGGGGCGTTGTGCTCCCGACCAAAGTCCGTTTCTCAAAAGACGAGTAGAAGATTCTCCCAAGGGACAGGAGATGTGGGGAGAATGTGCTGGACACACCTGGGTGCAAGTAGAAAAGGGATGCCCAGTCCTGGGCTCAGAGGAGAGTGTCAGCTGTTTACTGGGCCACCTGCAAGCACCAGGCCTACCCCGAGTTGGTATTCGGTGCTTCCTTGCCTCCCACAGGGTACCAGCTGCTGTGCTAGAAAGAAGAGATCCAAACTGAATTATGGGGAGTCTGCCTTCGAGGAATGCTCAGCTCTGGGAGCAGGTGTAGGTAGAGGGAATGAGAAGACTGGGCGAGACCCTGTAACAGGGACCTCTGTCCTTCCTGCAGACCCCATTGGTGAGCAGTGGGAGGAAGAGGAGGGAGGCTTCAACTACGCCGTAGACTTGGTGAAACACATCCGGAGCGAGTTTGGGGATTACTTTGACATCTGTGTGGCAGGTGAGTGGCTGGAGGGTCCGCGTGGGTCGGGATGGAGAGGAAAGCGGGGAGGAGGCGGATCAGCTGCTGTAGACACAGATGAGGTGCACTGTGGGCCTGCGTCCCAGCCAGGTGAGGGACACATAGGGGTGAAGTGCTCCTGTGCTCGCTCACATCCTCCACCCTGCGTTTCTGTTCCTCTGCCCAGCTGCCCATGTTCTGCCTCCCAGCCCCATTCTCTCCAAGAGGAGAGGCGGGAGGCGACAGGGAACCTCAGAACCCAAGGTTGGGAGCTGACATCAAAGCACTTGACTGGCAGCAGGCAGGACACAGGCCTTCCCTCTAACTCTCCGCGGCTGCGCGTCCCTCTGTGTCTGCTTCCGGCCATGGTCAGCCTGATGCTTGCTCTTGTCCATCCCATGACCTGCTCTGGGGTCATGTCATGTCAGTTCCAGCAGTGGCCCAGACAGGTGGCCGGGTCTCAGGTCAGTTTCAGAATCAGATTGATTCAAGTCTAGTTCTGTCTGCTGCAGCCAGGGGACCTCGTCAGGTTCACGTGGGAAAGGAAGCATGACCTTTGGTTCCTCCCCATGTCTTTCTGTCCCTGAGATTGGGCCCAGGTGTAGCAAGGCAGTGTGTGCCAGGAACACAGAGCTCTGTGTCGATGAGCTGAGACTGGGAATAACAGCTCCTCTCCAGTATTTTGAGGGAAATCTTCAAAAAAAGATAAGATTTGTTTGAAAGGCAGAGTGAGAAAGAAGGAGGTTCACAGAGAGACAAGCTCTTCCGTTCTCTGGTTCACTCCTCAAACGATCACAATGGCCAGAACTGTGCTATTGTGAAGCCAGGAGCCAGGAGCTTCTTGCAGTTCTCCCACATGGTTACAACAGCCAATGTCTTGGGCCATCTTCTGCTGCTTTCTTAGGTACGTTAGCAGGAAGCAGGATTGAAACTATAGCAGCCAAGACCTGAGCTGGTACCCAGGCAGCTGTTTAACCTGCCATGCAATAATGCCAACCCCAAGTGAAATTGTATTTTTATATTAAACATAGCTGTGTACAGAGTAGCATCTCAGATGAATTATTTAAAAAGCAAGTGGCTTAAAGAAGGTTTCTCTTTGAGGGTCCCTGTGGGTTTTTCTCCAGGCACCCAAGTCCATGTCCAGTCTTCTGCCAAGAGGGGTGTTTGGGTGGCTTGGTCAGGAATTAAGGACAGACTGGCCATTTCCAGGGGTCAGCAGCGCACCTGTCATTCATGCTGTGCCCATAGGAAGGGCTGTTAGGTGATCCCAGCTGGATAGTAGCAAAGCTGGGTGCCTGCTCTTGCCTGATGACTCTGTGTTTTGCCTGGTCATAAAGGTCACTGGGTTAGGGTCCAGCACAATAGTTCAGTGGCTAAAAGTCTCACCTTGCAAGCACCAGGATCCCATATGGGCACCAGTTCTAATCCTGGTTGCTGTGCTTCTCTCCAGCCTCCTGCTGGTGGCTTGGGAAAGCAGAGGATGACCCAGGTCCTTGGGACCCTGAACCCGCATAGGAGACTTTGAAGAAGCTCTAGGTTCTGGGTTTTGGCTTGGTCAGATTCTGGCCGTTGTAGCCACTGAGGGAGTAAGCCAGCGGATGAAGATCTCTGTCTCTCCTGCTCTCTGTAACTCTACCTTTCAAATAGAAATAAAGAAATCTTTTTTAAAAATTGATTAGAGAGCATCAAGCCAAGGGTGCTAGAAAAAGGCTGTAATAAACTGAGCCAAACCCAGCTAGATTTGTTTGGTGATATATAGATATAGGTTGTAGAGTTCCTGGATTTTCTCTGGAAAAAAATGTGTGGGTTTTTTTTTTCTGCATTTATTTATTTATTTTTGGTTTGTTTGGGTATGACTTAATTAAAAGTGAGGAAATTCACAAACTCATTCAGGCAAAGTGGGCAGTGAGGAAGGAGGTGGAAGAGAGATGTTTCTGCTTTCATCTCGTGTCCAGAGGGAGACAGGGGACGCCCCTCCCCATTGCCTGGCTTCTTGTGGACCTGGTGTCACCCTCCAGTCCCGGGTGAGGGCAGCCCAACTGGGGAAGGGGTCATTGGAGTGACACATAGGCAGACTGTATTAAATGGGTTGGAGAGGTATGGCTTTTAACTCGTGACCCTGAGCTGCCTGATGTTTCTGCCCCCTGTCCTCAGGGTTGCCGAAGGATGTAGTTTCCTTGCGTCTTCTGTAGCTACTTGTTGCTGACTAGGTGTGTAGGCCTGTCTCCTCTAGTGGATCCAGGTCCCAAGCCATAGAAAGTATAGCTAGTGCCAATGGCTGTGTCCCCTGTATTGGCGTCGTCCTGAGAAGTTGCTGGCCTTTTTCTGTCTTTTGCATCTAAGAGCCTTGATCAACTGTTTCACAGGAGTAGACCGACTAGTCCTTCAGATAACATGATCCTCTCTCCTACACAGAAGTTAGCGTGGGAGATGGCACAGTATGCTCTGTGTGTTCCAATGCCAGTACACACACCCCAGTCTCTGGTTCCTGAAACCAGATCCTGTTGCATCTGGGACCAGTGGGACATGAAAACCCAGGTTTCTTGGTGACATCAGTGGGCTCCAACCCCTGGACTTCAGTCTCATCCCTCCCCCCCCCCCACCAGCCTAGCACTGTTGGGACGGTCTAGAACCCATCAGCGTAGTGTCATGCAGCAGCCATGACCTGCCCAGGACCCATCAGGTACCTGGCCTGCCAAAGGCCATCAGTGGACCACACATATACAGGACCCCAGCCTCAAGTCCCTGGCCAAAGTCAGTGTTATGCTGCTAGTGTGGCCTGCCTAGGGGCCCAGCATCAGACCCTTGGCCAAGGTCAGTGTTATGCTCCCAATGTGACCTGCCTAGGGGCCCAGCATCAGACCCTTGGCCAAGGTCAGTGTTATGCTCCCAATGTGAGCATAGGGCCCCAGCATCAGGCCCTTTGCCTGCCCACCCCTAGACCAGTGTTTGGTGTGCTGCAGGTGCCACCTCCCTATTACCCATGAGGCCACTGGCCTGCCTGCTCCCACAATGTTGTGTTGGCCCGCCACCGGTACAACCTGCTCAGGACCCCAGTGTCAGGCCCCTAGCCTGCCTCTCCCTGGTTGGCGAGTATTTATTCAAAGGGCTGTTAGTTGTCTATTGACCATTCCAGAAAGAGTGTATGCAGATTTGGAGACTCGCTGTAGAAGTTGGACTGAAGTGTAGGGTAAACTGCCTAAAACTGAGTAAAGTTTTCTAAGATTGGTGTCATGTGACATACCAAGATCCAGTAGCAGCTTCCGGAGAAGATCAAGGGAAGTGATCAGTAAAACCTGTCTGCCGTAAAGTGCCGTAATCTTAATATAGAGACAGGGATAGTAAAGGCTATGTTTATCTTTTCCTTTTTCAAAGAAGTGTCTGAGATCTTTGGCTGATTTGATGGAGTATATAGGTTTACCTTTTGTACCTGCCTAGTCTCATGTGGTGTGGCTCCAGCCACAGGCCCCCTCCCCATCTTGGCCTGTGTGTTTCCAGCCATGGGCATTTTGGAGGGACCCCAGCCAGCCCACATGGTGTTGCTGCAGCTCCAGACTCCCTCCCTGCTGAACTGGGCAGCACCTCGGCCCATGTGGCTCTGGCTTTGGGCCTCTTCCAGTGACCCTAGCCTGTGGAGTGCAGCTGCGGCCACAGGCCTCCCCACCCCCACCGCCTGCTCCCTGTTAGGCTGGGCAGCCGTCCGGGCCTTGTGGCTGTGGCCTTCCTCCCACCCCCGCTGTCCCCCAGGGACCCTGGCCTGTGCAGTGTGACTCAGGCTCTAGGCATCTCCCAGGGAAAGGAGGGAGGGGAAGGGGGACAAGGAAGAAGTATGAGATGCTGATGCTACTCAACCTACTCTGCTTAAGGCAGTCATTTTTGTGTCCAATTTTAATGACTCCGGGCTTCTTAGAAATGAAATTGTTTATCACAATACAGCAGCTTGGCTTCCAAGAGCTCAGCCTCTGGTCTGCAGCCTGGCTGGCTCCTGGGGGTTAGGAGAAGGATGGGCCCGCCTGGCAGGGGTGGGGTTAGCCTGCCTGCCTGGGATGGAGTGGGCCTGCCTGGCTGGGATGGGGTGGACCTGCCTGGTAGGGGTGAAGTGTGCCCGCCTGACTGGGATGGGGTGGGCCTGCTTGACTGGGGCTGGGTAGGCCTGCCTGGCAAGGACAGGATGGGCCTGCTTGGTGGGGCAGGGTGGGTTGGCCTGGCAGGAGTGAGGTGGGCCTGCCTGACTGGGATGGGGTGGGCCTGCCTGGCTAGGGTGAGGCTAAGCCAGCCCCCTTCTTGTAGTTGGACTAAGGCCTGTGAGCTCCCTGCTTTCAGCCAAACAAGGCTGCTAGTAAGTCCCCATGGAGAAAGAATCATCAAGCCCCAGAGCCAGTCAGGAGTCTGGAAGTCGTGGGGTCCCACATCCCAGGCAGTGCTGGCTCCATGGCCAGCCTGTGGTGTCCCACTCCAAGACATGCTGGGGTTGAAGGGGTGCTAACGCTGCCATCAGACGCAGCACAGGCCCTGATGGACAAGGACCTGTCTGGGGTCCATCTTTCTGCAGGACAGACCTTCAGGTTCCAGGAAGTAGTTAACTGTGTTCCCTCTGTCGCTTGTCTGCTGCATCAGCTCTCCTGCCGTGACCCGATTCAGTTCCTAACTTTTCATTGTCTTGCACCAGGTGACTTTAATGTTAAAAATAATGTTTAAATCCAGTGCTCGGAGTGCAGTGCCATGTCCCACTGGCAGTATTGTCTCTTTTCCATAGCCACAAAGTGCAGGCCTGGTTTGCCTGGCTGGTAGAGGCAGGCTGTGTGGGCATTTGGAGCAGTCTACATCCACGCTAGGGGGGATCACGTCCAGGTCAGGGTCACGGGGGGCCTGAGTGCAGCCACTGGCATGTTGAGCTGAGCCCCGGCGCGCTGGGGGAGCAGGCGAGGCTGGCAGGCCCGAGGCGGAGGATTTGTTCCCGTCTGCTGCATTGTTCACTCATCCCAATGGAAGGGAGGCCGCGTCACCCTACTCCCCCCTCCGTGGACAGGTTACCCCAAAGGCCACCCCGACGCAGAGAGCCTTGCGGCCGACCTGAGGCACCTGAAGGAGAAGGTGTCCGCGGGTGCCGATTTCATCATCACACAGCTCTTCTTCACGGCAGACACGTTCTTCAGCTTTGTGAAGGCTTGCACCGAGATGGGCATCACGTGCCCCATTCTACCTGGCATCTTTCCCATCCAGGTGAGGGTCCCAGGAGGACTGCCCGGCCCCCACCCCACCTGCCAAGCCCTGTCAGCTTGGCCCAATGCTGTCTTCACTCTGTGTTTGGGTTTTTGTTTTATTACGAAGTCCCAACAAGTATCACTAGATGTGACTATCACTCTCACAAATTGGGGTTAAACCAACTTTCCCCAACTCAGTTATATCAGAACTGTTTTATCTGCTTTTTCTGGAAGTTCTGTGGTGGCCCTGGGCATCTGCATTTTACTTTTTGGGTTTTGCAGGTGATTCTGATGGTCATTGTGATCCGGGAACAGCTAGGTTAGGCGGCCACTGCGTGATCGGTAGATACGACAGGCTACGGGGTGGGCTTGAACCATGGCAGCCACTGCGCTCTACTGAATGGAAAAAAGCGAGACAGGCCTCGGGGAGCTCTGGCAGCATGGTCACGTGTGGCAGGAGACCTGGCGGGCAGCGACAATGCGGCAAGCCTTTAGGGCAGGAGATGGCTGCAGATGACCCCACAGCGCCCATGTGTCTCGGGCAGGGCTATCACTCCCTGCGACAGCTCGTGAAGCTGTCCAAGCTGGAGGTGCCTCAGGAGATCAAGGACGTGATTGAGCCGATCAAAGACAACGATGCCGCCATCCGCAATTATGGCATTGACCTGGCCGTGAGCCTGTGCCAGGAGCTCCTGGCCAGTGGCCTGGTGCCAGGCCTGCACTTCTACACCCTCAACCGTCAGGTGGCCACCACGGAGGTGCTGAAGCGCCTGGGCATGTGGACCGAGGACCCCAGGTGAGGGGCAGTGGGCTCGGGCTCCCCCATAGGAAGCCCGAGAGTGATTATGGACATGGCGTGGCCCGTCCCTTTCCCAGCCAACCCATTGTCCTCTGTCTTCTTGTCACGCAGGCGTCCCCTGCCCTGGGCTGTCAGTGCCCATCCCAAGCGCCGGGAAGAAGATGTGCGTCCCATCTTCTGGGCCTCCAGACCCAAGAGTTACATCTACCGCACCCAGGAGTGGGACGAGTTCCCCAATGGCCGCTGGTGAGGCCTGAGGTGCCTTGCCAGCAGACTGCTCCCCAGTCCCAGGCGTGGGAGGAGGGACAGAGGCAGTGGCCCAACCTGGTGTGAGGGCCCTGGGATGAGTGCAGCTCGGTTTCCAGGGAGGGCACCTGGGCTGGTGGTGGCAGCTGTCCTTAGCCAAGAGCTCACGGTTCAGGAGCAGGTGCTGACCTTAGGCCCCCTCCCCTGCAGGGGTAACTCCTCTTCCCCAGCCTTCGGGGACCTGAAGGACTACTACCTCTTTTATCTGAAGAGCAAGTGCCCCAAGGAGGAGCTGCTGCAGATGTGGGGGACCGAGCTGACCAGCGAGCAAAGCGTCTTCGAAGTTTTTGTTCGCTACCTCTCGGGAGAGGCAAACCAGCATGGCTACAAAGTGAGTGCTGCTGGGGGGTCCCTGGTGATTCCTCTACAAAGTGAGTGGTGTTGATGGGTCCCTAGTGACTCCCCTCACCCCGCCTTTGGCTCTGGGCCAGACTGCATCTCCATGTTGTGACTTGGCCGCTCGGCACAGAGTGAGCCTGAGCTGGGGACGGGACCCAGAGTCCAGATCCCAGCGCTGCCCAGCCCTGCTCGTCTCTCCCAGGTGACGTGCCTGCCGTGGAATGATGAGCCCCTGGCGGCCGAGACCAGCCTCATGAAAGAGGAGCTGCTGCGTGTGAACCGGCAGGGCATCCTCACCATCAACTCCCAGCCCAACATCAACGGGAAGCCATCCTCTGACCCCGTCGTGGGCTGGGGCCCCAGCGGGGGCTATGTCTTCCAGAAGGTGTGATGGCCATGCCCGCAGCTAGCCCAAGGGGCCCTAAATTGGGGACAGAGCAGCTTTCACTCCTGAGTGACAGTCACAGCAGACAGGGGCTCATGCTTCATGAGCAGACCTGGGCTGGCAGGCCCGTTTCCTGTAACATGGGATATGGTGCGTGTTTCAGGGTTGAAACATGTCAAGACACGTGTAGTTAGCCCTCGGGAAGAGCCTAGCCCCATAGCTACTGCTCCCATCCCGAGGAACATGGCCCTCCTATTGGCCTGGGCTGGAGTTGCCCTGGAGACTTCAAGCCCTGGCCCTGGAGACTTGGGTTTTGGTGCCAGCCTGGCTGCTTCCTGGCACTGGGGTGAATCTGCTTAGCTGCTTGAACCTCCTGTCCTCAGCTGGGGAGGAAGTGTTCAGTTTACAGGATCATGTGCATTCCAGCAAATGGATTTAAATAAGTCTGGCTTAAGCTCTGATGGGTGCTGGTACTAGAAAAGAAGGCTATGTCCCTGTCACCGAGGCCTTGCCCACGGTGTCCCCACAGGCACACTGGCTGCATGAGGGAAGGGTGCGGGTTTGATGGGCGGGCACTGTCTCCCACAGGCCTACCTGGAGTTCTTCACCTCCCGTGAGATAGCGGGGGCCCTCCTGGAGGTGCTGAAGAAGTACGAGCTCCGAGTTAACTACCACATCGTCGACGTGAAGGTAGGCTGGCCCAGGGCCCAGGTGCTGGTACCTGGCAGCTCCCACATTTATATTCCCACCTAGCCTGGGCCAAACATACTGGGCAAGGTGGGGAGATGCAGACAAAACCAGGACCCTGCTCTCAGGAGAGCTCCCAAGTAAAGCGGACAGTTACAAGTTAGTGAAGGTTGAAAAATCAAGTTCATTGTAGGCTGTACTGAAGGATCCAGAGCAGGCTCACCAAACCTGGAAGGTCAGGGCAGCTTCTGGAAGGGCCAAGTATGGCACTAATCTTAGGACCGAGAGTGGGCCAACAAGGAGTACAGCATTCAGGAGGACAGAGCAGGGACAGATACCCAGCTGCCCTGTCTGTGGAGAAGCCATGAGCAGGGAAAGGGAGACTTTAGTATTGAGCAGGGGCCGGGTCCTTAGGGCCTCACTTGGAACTGGGATTTCCCTAAAGGCTGGGGGAGGCATTTTCAGCAGTGCAGTTCCTGGCTCCATGTCTGATTGTGGTCAGGTCACAGCACTCAACCGTCTGGCTTGCAGGCGTCGGGGAGAGGACCTGCAGAGGCTCGGGTGGACAGTGGATCTAGTCTAGCTAGCAGGAGGGGGCACGCAGAGCATACCAGTGAGTGGGCCCAGGAGGCTGATGGCAGCAGGGCTGGGCTGGGCATGGGGATTGCCATACACAGGACACAGGCCTGCAAGGGCAGTTGCCAGCCTGGATCCCAGGCTGTTCTGACCTTCCTCCAGTGCCTCCCTCGGGCCCCAGGGTGAGAACAATACTCACCTCTCACCCTCCAGGGTGAGAACATCACCCCCCCAATACCCACCTCCCATCCCCCAGGGGTGAGAATATCACCCCCAGTACCCACCTCCCATCCCCCAGGGTGAGAACACCACCCCAGTACCCACCCACCTCCCTCCCCCCAGGGTGAGACCATCACCCCCAGTACCCACCTCCCACCCCCCAGGGTGAGACCATCACCCCCAGTACCCACCTCCCACCCCCCAGGGTGAGAACACCACCCCCAGTACCCACCTCTCACCCCCCAAGGTGAGAACACCACCCCCAGTACCCACCTCTCACCCCCCAGGGTGAGAACATCACCCCCAGTACCCACCTCCCATCCCCCCGGGGTGAGAATATCACACCCAGTACCCACCTCCCACCCCCCAGGGTGAGAACACCACCCCAGTACCCACCTCCCTCCCCCCAGGGTGAGACCATCACCCCCAGTACCCACCTCCCACCCCCCAGGGTGAGACCATCAGCCCCAGTACCCACCTCCCTCCCCCCAGGGTGAGAACACCACCCCCAGTACCCACCTCCCACCCCCCAGGGTGAGACCATCACCCCCAGTACCCACCTCCCATCCCCCAGGGTGAGAACACCACCCCCAGTACCCACCTCCCACCCCCCAGGGTGAGAACACCACCCCCAGTACCCACCTCCCTCCCCCCAGGGTGAGAACATCACCAACGCGCCTGAGCTGCAGCCCAACGCGGTCACCTGGGGCATCTTCCCGGGGCGAGAGATCATCCAGCCCACAGTGGTAGACCCCATCAGCTTCATGTTCTGGAAGGTAAAGCAGCTGGGCGGGGGTCACTGGCCCTGGCCAACCAGAGAGCCCTGAGTAAGGCGGTGTTGCTGGCCCCATCATGGCCACCCCGCATGCTCACTCTGCTGGCAGTGATAATGATTCTGAATAGTAGGAGGGTCGTACAGACCACAAGCCTTGTTCTCTTCCCGGGGTGCTGTGTTGGTCACCGGCAAGACCCAGGGACCCTGGCTGGGGTGGCTCTGGCCTGGGGTGGCCCTGGTGACTGGGTCCCTGTGTGTGCAGGATGAGGCCTTTGCCCTGTGGATTGAACAGTGGGGCAAGCTGTACGAGGAGGAGTCCCTCTCCCGCACGATCATCCAGGACATCCATGACAACTACTTCCTGGTCAACCTGGTGGACAATGAATTCCCGCTGGACAACTGCCTGTGGCAGGTGGTGGAAGATGCTTTCGAGCTCCTGGGCAGGCCCATGCGACAGGAAGCGGGAGCAGAGGCTCCATGACCCTCGGCTCGGCCGCTTAGCCCCACCTCCCTCCTTGTCACAGCTTTCCTTCAGCCGTCCCCAAGCCCTGGTCTCTGCTTCCCTCGTGACAATCATGATGGCAGCTAGATTGGCCTGGGCCTTCAGGCTCTGGCTGGACCGGAGCCAGCCCTGCAGGAAGCTTGGTGGCCTTGTGGGGAGAGACGTTACTGCACCTCCCGTCCCTGGGAATATGGCTGCTGGGCCCTGTTGGCTCGGGGCGGATGAGGCATGGCTTCCCTGCTGTTCTCACTGGTCCTAGCTTGCTGCTGCACAGGCCCTTGGCTGATGCTGGCTGGTTCTAGGGTATCCTGCCACCTGTACCTGAGGGGTACCTGAGGGATCAGCTGGCCGTCTCTGCCCTTTTTTCGTGCTGCTGTCTGAGCCCTGCCTGCATTATGATGGCTCAAGGGAAAGTGTCTGTCCCTTCACGGTTAAAGGTTACCTGAACCTTTGTGCTGGGCAGAAGCCTTGGCCTTCCCTTCCCCCTAGTCGTGGAAGGATGGGTACGCCTGTCCATGGCAGATGAGCTTCCCTGAGCCAAGCCCAGCTCCGAGCAGGACTCTGGCAGCCCTGCTCCTGCCTGCTGCTCAGTCCTCGGCCTAGCCTGTCACGGGTGTTGTCTGCCTGGCCCTGCGGCAGGACAAGGATGGGGAATGGAGGGAGGGAGGGGAAGGGTGGATGCACACACCAGTGTGGAACTTCCGCTTCCCTTGCAGACCCAGCTGGCTGTGGCCCAGGCAGTCTTGTACGCATCTGAGTGAGAGAAGCAGTGAGAACCTGGGGGATCTTTTATTATCCTTTGGCGCTCCAGAGGCTGGTCCCTGTGCCAGCCCACCCCCAGGTGGGTGGGACACAGCACCTTCCCTAAAAGCTGGGCTTGGTTCTGCTTGTGTTTTACAGGAACAAGTCCCCGTGGTGACTGCAGGCCCCCCATTCAGCTTCAAGCCTGCCGCCCCCGAGGCTGGGCAGCTCCAGCCTGCTCAAGGCTCCCAGGCTGCTGGGAGAGGACGCCTGTCCTCCGGCCCAGCTGTTAGGTGCCAGTGTGACTTCGCAAAGGCCTGGAGTCAGGGACAAGGTGGAAGGGCTACTTGTCTCCACCTCTGTCCAGAGCCAGAGGAACACCTATGCCCATAGCATTCTGTCCCCCTGGTGGGGAAGGTAAGGGTGGGGCAGAACGGGCCTCTGTTCAGGTCCAGTGCAGAGGTCTGGGGAGAGGTCTGGCCGGTGCTCTGGGAGGCTGCCAGAGGGAGTGGTCACTTGGGACCCAGGCCTGCTTCAGGCTGCTGCGAGCAATCTCAGGACAGCGGCCACACCTTGTTCCTGACCAAGGGAGCGAGTGAGACTGGATTGAATGCAGGGTCTCTGATCAGGGGCTGCAGGATCCACGTTGTGTGGTCTCTAAGCCAGCCTGCCCCCGCCCTTGAAACCAAAGGTGCCCTGGTGGCAGCGAGCGGGAACCCTTCGGTTTAGCAGTGGCACTGGTTTGGGGAAGAGCAGGCAGGGGCCGCCCCCTCCCTGCCCCCGGTACCTGGGAAGGAACCAGCTGTCCTCTTGCTGCTGTAGCCGCCGAGCCACCCGCAGCCTCACGGCTTGGTGCCGCCACGTCTGCCAGGCCCAACCCAGATACCACTGCCGAAGCTGTGGGGACAATTGGCAGAGAAAGGCTCCTGCCTCATGCTTCCCAGCCCCCAGCTCCTGCCGCCTCTGCTGCTCCTGCTGGGCCTGGAGGTAGAGGGATGTGACAAGTTGAGTGTCCACCAAGAAGTGTGTTAGTGGTGGTTCCTGGCCTAGAGACACTGGTTCTAGGGGCTTGGGTTGAGGGGAGCATGGGACGGGGTGTGCCCTAGAACCCCATTCAGTGTGGGTCAGAGGGGCCACATCCACTCACCAGGGTCCGTCCCAGCTGCTGTGTCCCTCGAGCATCCACCCAGCGCTGCCAGGCAGCTGCCAGGCACCTGATCCGCCAGGCAGCTTGGTGCTGGCTAAGCAGAGCTTCAAGCTGCCCTCGCTGAGCATGCTGCTGCCTGTCTGCTGAGTGCCTCCGGACCACTTCGTGACCAGGGAAGAGGGCTGGGCCACTGGCCGGGGCCTGCGCCTCCCGGATCCTGGGGGCGGAAGAGGGCTCAGTTCCGATCTCAGACAAGCTCCTCGCTGCTCTGTCCACCTACTACCTCAGTCTCACATACATTTGCACACATACTGCGCTTACCCGAGTCGCCTCGGGTAGACTTTCCTTTGGAGGCCTCTGGTCTCAGGGCTGCCATAGAGCCAGCCAGGTCTCGTCCACAGGGACAGGCCTGGGGCCCAGCTGCTGCCTCCAGGCCACTGCACCCAGAGCTGGAAGCTGGGGCCAGGGGGACTCTCCCCACCACCTGGAAAGGCGAGTGGAGTCAGAGATCACTGGGTGGGTTCAGGAAGGCAGCTTTGCACCTGCACCGTGGGCTGTGACAGGGCCCATGGAGGTGTGGAGTGGAGAAGTGCACTTTTCCCCTTGTTGCCACATCACAGGGCCCCAGCTCTCTGGACTGCTGCCCGGGGAAAAACAATGGACAAGGCAGAAGTTGTTCTCTTAGAGTACTCAGGAAGAGGACGTGGGTGGGAGAAAAGCAAGTACAGAGATGCTTCCAGACTGGCAACGCCTTTACCCCTCAGCCACCTCCTGTTCCCAGGCCTGGGTCCCCTTACTCTGCATCCAGGCTGTTTCCTCTGGTGTCCCCTGGTTGTCGTGGCTGTGCTCATGTGTCGGTCCTGTGGCTAGTGTCCAGCAACTGTGAGTCTGAGGGGACAGAGGGGCAAATCACCCCAGTGTCCCTGGACAGCCAAGTGGGGTGCTTTTACACCCTTCGCCAGGTCTCCTACTTGGTGTACACAGATGAAGTGGGTATGTTGCCTAGAGAATCCCAGGAGTAGTGTGGCCAGCACGAACCCATAGCCCCTCCCTTCACCTGTCCTAGAAATGAGCCACTAAGTGTTTTCTGTGTTGGGGACAGCCCTGGAAGGTGGCTATTGATCTTTGATCTTCCCACTTAAGCTTATCTTTTAAAGTTATTCATACATTTGAAAGGCAGAGTGAGCCGTTCCATCTGCTGGTTCACTCCAAGTGCCCATGATAGCCAGCATGGGGCCAGGGCAAAGCTGAGAGCTGGGCTGCAGGTGGGTGGCAGGAACCCAAATATTTGGCCCCTCATTCACTGCCTCCCAGGCACATGAGCAGGAAGCTGGTGCTAGAACCGGGCATTCTGCTAGGGGATTTGTCTGTCCCCAGCAGTGGCACAGCCTACTACCTGCCCAAGAAGTGCTTCACCTGCCAGAGCCCAAGCTCTGCTACACAAGCTGCCATTCACCCGCGGGGCCTGTCGGGAGAGGGCTGCTTGGAGACACGGATCCCTGTGTTGGAAGGAGGGTACAGTGACAGCTTCTGCTTTGTTTTTGTCAGCCTTGGTGTCTCAGTGTGGGGAGTCCTTATCTTACTGGCAGGAATGGGATGGGCTTCTAGAAGAACTGCCCTGTAGCACACCTAGAATTAAAATGCCTTGGAACCCCAGATGCTGTGGCTGGCGCAGCCCGTGTGTGGATTCTGCAGCCTAAGCTCTTTCCATTCCATCTAAGCACAGCGTTCTGCGCCAGGACTTTTAGCAATGCCATCACACGACCTCACCTGCCACTAGCTCTAGGGCCGTGTCCCTCAGTGACTCCCCAGGCTGCTGTGCAAGTCCCCTCCTGCTAGGTAGTCATCCCCCTTTGCTGGTGTTAGAACTAACGGCTTTTGGTCTCCAGGGAAGTAACACCTACCTTTGGGCAGAATCAAGGATGAAATTTTGGGTTTGTTTGTATTCTGGTTTTCTTGTATTGAGCATATTTTATTTTTCCAATAAGAAAAGTAAAATGCTGACTGCTGCTGTGTGTGGGGGGGGGGGCGGTTCTGCATTGCACCAAGGTGGGTAGTGGGTGGATCATGAAAGGAAGTGCCTGCCCTGCAGTCCCTGCTGGGTTCTCTGGTCAGGTACCAAGTGCTCAGCAGGTACCTGCTGGTGGGCCAGAGAGCCAGGAGCTGGGAATGGCCGCTATCCACACGCTGTTGTGCCTTTAGGGGATTGGTTAGCCATGTTACCACCACGGGCTGAAATGAGCCGATTCTAAAGGCCAGTGGTCTTGAGAGTTGCTTCTGCACCCCATTCCCCCCAGGTTCCCCCTCACCTGCTTCCATGGGGCTGGGGCGTCCAGCAGCAACAGGAGGCTCCCTCTGCTGGATATCCCAGGCCGGTGCATGAGACCAGCTTCCTGCGCCTTGGCCCTCTGCACTTGGAACAGTGCAATCCGCCACTGGGCCCAGTGGATCTGCAGGCACCCGAGCCCAGTTTGCTGGACCTGGGTGGGAGTAGTGGCAGCTCGCTGGACATGCTGCTGGGCTGCTAACGGGGCCTGGGCCTCTGGGACCCTGCAGGAGAACAGCCAGGCCGGGACTCCAGGGCTAAGCCTGTAAGGAATCCTCCCCAGGTAGAGCCCCACACACCTGCCCTTCCTTGGGAGATGCAGGCCTGGTAAGCAGCCTGCACTGGACAAAACAGCGCACAACAGAGACAAGCACCCAGCTGGGAGGCAGAGGGAAGGCAGTGCTGCCAGGCACATTCGGCCTCCCTCCCTGCCCAGCACCACCCTGGCAGGGCAGGTCTGTCCTGCCAAGTTAGCACATGGCCACCCTGCAGTGCAGCACTGCAACTTTGCCAGAAGGTGGCAGAGCTGGGGCTTGATGCCAGGGATAGCTGCAGTGACCAGGGTGACAAATCCCTATCACCTCCAACCTACCCTGTTACCCAGCTGCAAGACATTTCATTACCCCATCCCCAGATGCTCCAGAGCCCAGCATGGAGCTGCTCTCAGACCCCAGGTACTCACCGAGTGCTCAGCGTCTGAGGTGCATCAGTTTTTGCGCTGACGTGGACAGAGTGGGGCGTACACACCCATGGGATCCAATGCAGGGCCACCTGGCTTTGGGCCCCCGTTCTCCCTTCCGCCTGCTGTTGAGTCTCACGGCACCAGCCCAGGGCCTGTCGCCATGCTCCAAGGGCCTGCTGTGGCTGGGTCCCTGGCAGCTGCCTCTCTGCCCAGCCCCACTGCCCAAGGCTTCTCCAGCAGGCCGTGGAGGCCTGCACCATGGGCTGATGCTGGATGCACATGTGGAGTGCAGCTGCCCAGGCTTCCTGCCATGTGGCAAAGGCAGCCCGCAGCATTGTCCTCTGCAGGCCATCCTGGAAGGCTCGCCACTGGGCCTGGAGCACACTGGTGCCCTGCACAGCCTCACACCAGGCCTGGAAGTGGCTGGAAAACAAGAGGCAGAGGAGGGGCCCTGCTGGCTTGACATTCCTCAAGACAGGTGGTGGGACGTTGTGGCCCTGCCCTTTATCCCCAAGTCGGGGTCTCTCTCCCAGCCCTCCTCACTCCCGTGGGTGCTGCTTCTGAGTTGGGAATGGCCAACTCCTCCTCTTCCTCCTCCCCCAGGCCCATTCACCTCCGCAAGCATCTCTGCTGAGCGGCCACCTGCCGCCAGCCCTGGAATGCGACCCTGCGTAGGCTCCGCTGGTGGTGCCGCTCACGCCTCTGGTACCACTCACGCAGTTGCTGCTGTCCTGGGCCAGAGAGACACTGTGGTGCTGCTGGGTGCTCCGCTAACTCCCCTACCTCCAGGCCAGAGAGGGACAGAGGCAGTCCCTTCTGTGTGGGTGTGACTGTCCTGTGACAGGCGTCTGTTACCACACTAACCCAATTCACAGTCATTGGCAGAGGTGAGGATAGTGGTGTTTTCCTTCTTTTTTAAAAATTTTTTGAAAATTTATTGTTTTTATTGGAAAGGCAGATATATACAGAGAGGAGAAAAGACAGAGAGGAAGATCTTCTGTCCAATGATTCACTCCCCAAGCAGCTGCAATGGCTGGAGCTGAGCCAATCTGACGCCAGAAGCCAGGAGCTCTTCTGGGTCTCCCATGTGGGTGCAGGGTCCCAAGGCTTTGGGGTGTCCTCAATTGCTTTCTTAGGCCACAAGCAGGGAGCTGGATGGGAAGTGGGGCCGCTGGGATTAGAACTGGCACCCATATGGGATCCCGACCCAAGCAAGGCAAAGACTTTAACCACTATGCTATCACACTAGACCCTTCTTCTTTTTAAAATCTATGTTTAGGAATCAGAGGAATCTAGATTTCCAAGTTTTCTTTAAAAATGAGGTCTAGTTGGGCCTGGCACGATAGCGTAATGGTTAAGGTCCTCACCTTGAATGTACCAGGATCTTATATGGGTGCCGGTTCTAATCCTGGTAGCTCCACTTCCCATCCAGCTTCCTGCTTGTGACCTGGGAAAGCAATTGAGGATGCCCCAAAGTCTTGGGACCCTGCACCCGCATGGGAGACCCGGAAAGAAGTTCCTGGCTCCTGGCTTTGGATTGGCGCAGCACTGGCCATTGCAGCCATTTGGGGAGTGAATCATCGGGACAGAAGATCTTCCTCTCTGTCTCTCCTCCTTTCTGTATATCTGACTTTCCAATAAAATAAATAAATCTTAAAAAAAAAAAGTCTAGTCAACCCAAACCAACATTTCTACTGCGTAGCAATGGCAGAGGACAGGATGGGACTGCCCAGAGCAGCCCAGTCCTTGGCGGCAGCCTTGTCTAAGGTGTGTCCATGCATGGGCAGCTCCTCCAGTGGTGCCCACTGCCTGGTGTCTATGTCCTGCACGGTGCCCCTGCTCTCCCCTCCCCAGCTCAGAGCTCTGTGGCTCCTGGAGGGCAGGAGATGGTGCCAGCTATGAAGATGATGATGAAGGTGGTTAATACCTCTCAACACCTGAGTTCTAGGCCATGGGATGAGTCCATGAGTTGGAGACAATTTCTCCATTTTACAGAGGAGCAAGCTAAGACTAAGGATGCCTTTCTGGGCCCCAGAGTCCAAGCCCCTCGGTCCTGGGTGGACCCTGCATGCTGTCCCATCTTCATCCTCACTCTGGGCCCTGGAACACGAAGCATGGGGTCTCCCCAACAGACCCTGGCCCTCTGTCCACGGTGGTTCCCCTGCCCCGGGCGGGTCTCAACTCACTCTGACAGCAGGCACGCCAACAGCACAGGGCCCTTCGCACCAGCACCGAGTCCAGCTTCTCAGCCTGCCGTTCGGCCTTTTGCTGCTGCACTAGCCGTCGCCGCCACAGACCCAGTGTGGCCCTGCAGCTCCGTGCACAGGCCTGGCGGGCAGCCTGTTCTCTCCTGGCCCCTTGGGCTGCTGCCCAGTGGCTCCAGCCAAGGAGGACGCTGGGAAGGGGCATGTCCACCCTGAGGACCCAACATCCCCTCTCTTCCCCTCCCCCAACCTCAGCAACAGGGAGGGGCTTGGGGTGACTTCCTGCTGTTTCCACAGTAGAGGAGAGTGGGTTCCTTGGGTTGCAGGGACAGGTGGTGAGGACAGGAAGAACCCCAGATCCAATACCAAGCCCTGGGCTCCCCTTGCCAGCCGTGACCAGAAGGGCTGGCTAATGCCCATGGCAATGAACATCACTGCCCCTTTTCATAGGTAGGCAGACCTGTGAGATGCTGTGCAACTTGCCCCACATGACACGGCCGGCAAGAGCCAGAGCCGGGATTAGAACCCAGGTAGGCCCCTCTTAAGCATCTTAAGCATATGAGGAAATAAAAGAGGGAGCTACCGCAGTTGAAGTCTCCCAGAGAAGAAATGACCTGGCCCTGGCAGCTGAACCAGCAGGAGGCGTCTGGGTCGAAGGTGATTGGGGTGGGGGAGGGGGCGCCCCAGGGATGCAGACTCCCAAAGACCAGGGAAAGCAGAGTACACCTCAGAGTTCACGCTTCCTGGGGATGGGTGCCTACCGCCTCTGAAGGGTGTGTCGGCACCACCTTGCTGCACCCCGAGACTGCTGGGCCCGCACCCACCACAGCAGAAGGCACTGCCCCTGCCGCTGCTGTCCAGCTGCTCGTGGAAAGCCCACCAGGAGGGCAGGGGCGCTGGGGGCCTGGGGAGAGTGACGTGCAGTCCTGGGTCCCTCAGTCCAAGCCCTGCACCTGCTCTCTCCACCCACAGCCCAGTTCGCTCTGCACCCTTGCCCCGTCACCTTCTCCACTGAGGCCTTTCCTCCCAGGATGCTGTGCAGTGGCTCCAGGGCAGGGGCAGTTCGGGGCATGCATATTGGGGTGCCTGGACCCCATGGCCTCCAGCGCCAGTGCCTGAGGATGGCACACATTGTCCGCTGCTGCATGCCATGGAAGAAGGAACTGGAGAGGGCAGGCGAGAACCCAGGTGCTTTCTCATCCCTTGGCCAAGCCAGGTTACCCCAATCCAACTGCTGAGGGCCAAAATGGAGGGACGGGACAGAGCTCGACACCTCCACCTCCCAATCCGGCTGCATGCAGTCACACAGCCCACTGGGGTACAGCCCCAGAGGTCTACCTGTGTGGCCTGGGCTTCCTGAGCCCCCCAGTGACACCTCCTGGTTGATTTCACTACACGTCCAGGGTGGTAAGGGGTCACCACCTTTCCAGGGCTGAGTTAGACCCCAGGCCCACATACACGACCACACCACAACTCCTCCTCCTGCTCAGAGGCCAAGAAAGGCAAACCAAGACCCAGAGAAACTTCATCTCCCCAAGCCCAGAAGAGCAGCAGCTCTGGACTCCTCTACAGCCAGCAGGGCAGCCCCAGGTCCAACACGGGGAGATGGTGGCTATGCCAGAGGACGGCCCTGGGGAGTCAGGACCTCATTCTGAGGCTTGTGGTGTGTTGAATTCTTCTGGAGTTCCAGGGGTCTGCCCAAAGGTCCTGGGGGCCCAAGTGTACCCTGTGAGGGTGGGGATGAGGGGTGCCAGGCTGTGGCTTCGAAAGCCCCTGCAGCTGCTGGCTGCTGTTTCTGCTGGCGCCTAGGCAGGGAAGCTGGTCCCTCGCTGCTTCTCCCCTCTGCTCCCTGTAGCTCTCAGCCTGGGCTAGCAGCAGGGACGGTGGTCTCGTGTCAACTGCGGGACCTCCTAGCTCCTGATTTACAGCATGCTTTCTAGCATGTGGCTGTGCAATGAAGACATGGGGCAGGGGACAGGAGATCTGGCCCCCAACTCTATCTCTGCAGTACTTTGTTCTATGCCTGCTAGCCCCCAGGCACCTGCTGATGCTAAGACAGTAGTGAGGCTGCCACCAGGGGTACACATCAGGCAGGGAGCTGGGCAAGAGGCAACTTCCTCCTGCTGCAGTCATCTTGGTGGGGCACAGTTTTAGGTTCCCAGCTGTTCATGACTTGGTGATTCTCCACTTAATCACTGTTTCTTGGGGACCTGTTGTCTGCAGGGCAGGGAGCAACAGGACACAGCCAGGGCCGTGTGGGACACCCCATATGCCACCCCCTCTAGGCAAACCCTGTTCCCCTTCAGGCAAACCTAGGGTCCCAAGCTCCTAGACACCTACTCAGCCTGCTGGCGCTGGGTCACCGGTGTCTTCCAGAGCAGCAGTGCCCGCTGGAGGGCCAGTCTCCGGCAGGCTTCCTGCAGTGAGACTGGGTCTCGCCCAGAGAGCAGCCTCTGGGGCAGAGCCCCCTCCCCTAGGACCCTGGAAGTAGAGGCTCCTGGGGCTGGGATGCAGAAGGCTGAGTTCCCTGGAAACAGGAGACAGATGAACTCCTCCGGATCCTACACCACGCCCCTGGGCGCTGCCCCTCCCCTCAGCCCCAACCTTCCCCTGTGGGTGGCCTCCCGGATCCTGGCTTCCCTAGAGCTGTGCATTGGCTGTCAGCCTGGTTGCTCCCTCCAGAGCAGGGGCCCAAGCCTTCCAACAGGAAGTGAGCTGGTGATGGGAGGAAGGGTACCAGGTCTACACGCCAGGCAGCCTGCACTCCCAGAAAGCGCCCAGTTCTACCTGCTCCCAGTCTCCGCAAATCCCATGAGGGCTTCAGGGGAAGGGCCCCGGGCCACCCTCCCCCCTGCAGCCACCTGCTCACCTGCCTCCTGCTGGCAGAGGGACAGCAGGGTCACCTTCACACCATCCGAGGCCCGGAGCTGCTTCATCCAGACCCACTGTTGCAGACACACCCTTAGGATCCCTGTCCGGTGGTCAGCCAGGCAGCTTCGGTACTGGGCCCCTCTTTGCACAAACTTCCGCCATGCTCCAAAGCACCTAGGAGAGGCCAAAAAGAAGTCCCCAGATAACGACCAGTGACCAGCTGCAGCCGCCTGCCGCCTGCCGCCTGCCGCCTGCCAGGCACAAACCACCTGAGCCCTTGGGCAAGCACAACCATTTTACTTCTGCAACCTTCACTTTTCTCATCTGTAAACTGAGATTGCTATGCAGACAGCAGGGGATACTGCTTGCTCCAACTGTGACGTTATCACGTCTGGGTGCCTGGATGGCCCCAGCAGCCTCCTACAGGGTCTACTGAACCGGCTCTTGGTCCCTATTTAATAGATTGAAGTGTTCAAGGGCTGGTGTTGTGGTGTTGCAAGCTAAGCTTCTGCCTGTGGTGCCAGCACCCCATATGGGTACTGGTTTGAGTTCTGGCTGCCCTGCTTCCAATTTAGTTGCCTGCTAGCATGCCTGAGAGAGCAGTAAAAATGGTCCCAAATGCCTGGGAAACCTACATGGAGTTCTAGGCTCCTGGCTTTGGTGTGTGGCTCAGCCCCAGCAGTTGGGGCCATTTGGGGAGTGAACCAACAGATGGAAAATCTTTCCCCATCTCTCACTCTATCTGTAAATCTGCTTTTCAAATAAATGAATCTTTTCTTAAAAAGACACATGAGAGGATTGGGGTCAAGGTCCTGACAGCTTCACCCAGGTAGGCAGCAGTGACATTCCTGTGAGCGGCTTCCTGCCACGTCACGGTGAGCATCTGAGGGGTGAACCCCAACAGATTCCTGTCTCACATGAGAAAAAATAAAAAGGCCAGGGAGAGCTATACTGCTAGGCACACAACCTGGTTCCTTAAGCAATGCAAGGGACACAAGTGGAGACATCACAGACCTCGAGGGCTTGGCTAGCTGCCGCCTCGGAGCCTTTCATCTAGTTTTATTGGAAAAAGGCAGAGTCACAGAGAGAAGGAGAGACACAGAGAAAAAATCTTCCATCTGCTAGTTCACTCCCCAAGCGGCCACAACTTCTGGAGCTGAGCCAATCCACAGCCAGGAGCCAGGAGCTTCCTCCACGTGTCCTCCATGGGTGGGAGGGACCCAAGGACTTGAGCCATCCTCTGCTGCTTTCAACGGACAAAAGCAGGGCGCTGGATCAGAAGTGGGGCAGTGGGACAGAACTAGCGCCTGCGTGGGATGCCAGTGCCTCTAGACGCTTGTTCCGCCACAGCCCGTGCCCGTGGACCTTCGTTAACTCTCAAGTTCTATTTTTTAAAAAGATTTATTTATTTTTATTGGAAAGTGAGATGCACAGAGAGGAGGAGAGTCAGAGAGGAAGCTTTTCCTTCTGCTGGTTCACTCCCCAACTGATCATAACAGCCAGAGCCGAGCCAATCCAAAGCCAGGAGCCTCTTCCAGGTCTCCCATGTGGGTGCAGAGTCCCAAGGCTTTGGGCCGTCCTCGACTGCTTTCCCAGGCCACAAGCAGGGAGCTGGATGGAAAATGGGCTTCCAGGATTAGAACCAGCACCCACATGGGATCCCAGAGCATGAATGCAAGGTAAGGACTTTAGCCGCTAGGTTACTGCACCAGGCCCAGTTTTTTAAATTTATTTTTATTGGAAAAAGATCTTCCATTCACTGGCTCACTCACCAAATGGCCACAACAGTCAGAGCTGAACCAGTCCAAAGCCAGGAGCCAAGAGCTTTTCCTGGGTCTCCCACATACAATCTTCAAATTCTAACACCACACACACTGGCCACACAACTGGATATCTGAACACAGGTCAGGTACCTGAATGACAGTCCATTTTTTAGGTATGAGAATGGCACTGTGGCCGTGTTACTGAAAAGAGCCCGTCTTTCTGGAATGCAAGCGAACGTATTTATGGGAGACCATGCGCAGGACACCCAAGAAGCAAATTCCCCAGGAGGCGGGATTCATGGAACTGGTGTGGGGAACAGGCAGTGTGGGGAACCAGGCAGGAAAGTTTGGAAGGAACAGGTGAGCTGGAATTCCCGCCAGACCTGCTTGGCGGCCCCAGACACCCACTTTGTGTCCCAGGATGTACCTACGTCTCCTCTGGGAGCAACAAAGAGGAGATGCCGTGATGGCCGCGTGGGTTAAACCCCACGAGGAGGCTCCATGACAGGCCCGCACTCGCTGGGCTCCCCAGGCTGCACCCCGTTTGGATGCCCCATGGGGCTCCACCCCACCTCCTAGAGGAGGTGTGCAGGGCCCTTCTTTGCACTTGTCCTTCTCAAGATCCCCCTCCCCCAGACCTGCCCCGGATGGTCTCTGTCCATGCGGGATGGTCCACTCCCACACACGAATGTGTCGTCTCTCCCTCTGAAACGAATCCCACTTTCACTGTGCACCGTATCTATGCCTCTGCTTTGAGTTCTGATCTCTGGGGAAGTGGAAGCAAGCAGCAGGAATAGAGGTTAAGATGCCCACAGTATGCTGTGGCTTGGCATCCAGTTCACCTCACTTTTGTGCAAGACAAGAAGGGCCTCAGGGCTGCTGCCGTGGCCCAGTGCACTAATCCTCTGCCTGAGGCTCAAGCATTTCATTATGGGCACTGGTTTGAGGCCTAGTTGATCCACTTCTGATCTGGCTCTTGGCTTCTGGCCTGGGAAAACAACAGAGGTTGACTCAAGGTTGGGCCTCTGCACCCGCATGAAAGCCCCTGGCTCGCAGCTTGGGATTAGCCCATCTCTGGGCATTTGGGGAGTGAAGCAGCAGATGGAAGATCTACCTCTCTGTTTTTCCTTTTTTCTTTTTTTTCTTATATCTCTGCTTTTCGAATTAAGAATAAATAAATAGGGCCCGGCGCGGTGGCGCAAGTGGTTAAGTCCTCGCCTTGCACGCCCGGGATCCCATATGGGCGCCGGTTCTAATCCCGGCAGCCCCGCTTCCCTTCCAGCTCCCTGCCTGTGGCCTGGGAAAGCAGTCGAGGACGGCCCAAAGCTTTGGGACCCTGCACCCGCGTGGGAGACCCGGAAGAGGCTCCTGGCTTCGGATCGGCATAGTATCGGCCCGTTGCGCTCACTTGGGGAGTGAATCATCGGATGGAAGATCTTCCTCTCTGTCTCTCCTCTCTGTATATCTGCCTTTCCAATAAAAATAAATCTTTAAAAAATAAAAAAAAAGAATAAATAAATAAATCTTACCAAAAAAAATATAGAAAGGCCTCAGAATAAGAATATAGCCATGGGTCTGGTGCAGTGGCCTGGTGGCTAAATCCTCAGCTTTCACGTGCCAGGATCCCATATGGCTGCTGGTCCGTGTCCCAGCTTCTCCAACTCCCATCCAGCTCCCAGCTTGTGGCCTGGAAAAGCAGGAGAGGATGGCCCAAAGTCTTGGGACCCTGTTGGCTCCTGGTCTCAGAGAGGCTCAACGTCAGCTGTTGTGTTCACTTGGGGAATGAATCAGCGGAATGGAAGATCTTTCTGTCTCTCCTTCTCTCTGTAAATCTGTCTTTCCAGTAAAAATTTAAAATAAATCTTAAAAAATAATAGGGGCTGGCATGGTAGTCTAAAGACTAAAGTCCTCATCTTGCATGCATGCTCTGGGATCCCATATGTGCGCCAGTTCTAATCCCAGTGGCCCTGTTTCCCATCCAGCTCCCTGCTTGTGGCCTGGGAAAGCAGTCATGAATGGTCCAAAGCCTTGAGACCCTACACCCATGTGGGAGACCCAGAAGAAGCTCCTGGCTCCTGGCTTCGGATTGTCTCAGCTCCAGCCATTGTGGCCACTAGGAGAGTGAATCAGCAGATGGGTGATCTTCCTTTCTGTCTCTCCTCCTCTCTGTACTTCCGCCTTTCCCATAAAATAAATTTTAAATAATAATAATAATGCAACTATAAACATATAAGGATCTGTTCCTTCCCTTGTCAGGTGGTAGCTGTACCCTGTCACATGACTGCTTACTTCTGATCTGTTCCCCCACCTGCTGGGGTGCACAGGGAGGTGGGGTCCAGGCCTCTCCCCAGACCCTAGGCCCTGGCTTGTGTCTCAGGCATGTCACTCCTGGACGGCTGTTCTCATTTCCTGTCTCTAACTTTCTCTTACTAGTGGGCACGGGAGCTGACAAAGGGTTCTCCATGTCCCCCGACCTGCACAGCCAGGCTCTCTGGTGCTTGGGGTCCACAGAGGCCCCTCCAGGCGAGTCTGCACCGGCAAGAGAGTGACCACGCCAGGTCTGGGGGCGTCCCCGGTTGCTTGGAGTCCTCTGTGTGGCCTCTCCTGGGACCGTCCTCCTCTGCATGGGCCACTGCTTCTGATGACAGCACAGGAGGAAAACTGGAGGGAGGGGGAAGAGAGAGAAATGAGAGAGCAAGCACAGAGGAGTGTCAGGACACGGTCCTGCCTGGCTCCCACCTCCCACCTGGCCTCCCCAGCTCTGCAGGGAAGTTAAGTCCAACAATCAATGCCTCCCAGCCAGGGTGGGGAGGGCGTTGTCAGTCAGTGCCTGCAGGACACTAGCGCAGAGGCACGCCTGTCACTCTCTGTCCTCCAGCTGTCACCTCAGTTCTCCAAGGGTCAAGGGTCAAGTGGGTACAGTACCCAGCCCAGGTGACCGCGAGGCTCGAAGGACACAGAGTCCGACAAGTCACCAAAGCAGACACTCAGAAAACCTTCCCGCAGAGGCTCCACCCCCCCTCTGGCCTGGCCTGGCTCTGCCGCTCCACTTCCCAGTGACTTCCTCCCCTCATCTCACCTGTCAGCGGTCGCAGGGCCTGAGGGACCTGGGCTGTGCTGTCCCTGTCATCTGGTCTCTGCCCAGGGCCCGTCACAGTACGCCAGGCTCCTGTCTCCTTCTGCAGGCTCCCTGGGCTAAGAGTGAAGTTGCCCAGTGAGAAGCTGATGCCCAGGGACGCCACTTGGTCCCCTCCCCTGTCTGCCCTGGCCTGAGATGGCTTCTGGACAGTCTGTCTCATCCCCAATGCTCTCGCTTACGCCCATGGATGCCTGCAATGGCCAGGGCTGAGCCAGGTCAAAACAACCAAGGTCTCCAACTACTCGAGCCATCGCCGTTGCCTCCCAGGGCTTGCGTTAACAGGAAGCTGAAATCAGGAGCTGGAGCTGGGACTTGAACCCTGGCACTCCAGGGTTGGTTGGACACGGGCACACTAACCAGCGGGTTAACCCTAGGCCAATGACTATCCCTATTTTGATTTTTTGCAATCAAGCATTAAAATAAATATTGAAAGAATTACTTTAAGGGTTTATTTATTTTTGTTAAAAGCTTGGTCGTGCACCGGCCTCTGCCCTGGCGACTGTCAGAGAAATGACCCAGCAGACAAACACTCTCTCCCTCTCTATCACTCTGCCTTTGAAATAAATCTCAAAAAGGGAAAAAGAAAAATGCAGGGGGAAGAATTCAGGTATTTATAAACACCCTACTGAAGCGCATCCTGGTGCCTCCCACAAGGCGAAGCTTCAGTGCACCTGTTGCTCAGCTGTCCGGCTGTGTGGAGGTCCCTGCAGGCAGCAGTGGTGCACAGCAGCCATGCATCTTTGCCCACAACCACTCCATGCATCCCCACTCTCCAGTGGGGAAGGGAAATGCAGGCCAGCAAGGGCAGGGCTGGGGGTAGGCAGGCCATGCTGACCGGCCTGGGGGTCCCTGCTGACCTGCTTCTCCAGCTGGGTTCCACCACTGGCTGTCCTCCCAGGCAGCGGCTGTGGCCCTGGCCTTTTCCAGGAGGGCATGAGCCTGACCTCGCCTGCATGTGGCCGCTGCTCCTGACGCAACTTGGACGTGGCCGTTGCAGGGCCAGGCTTCTCCACTGGGTTAAGACAGAAGGGGAAGGGGGTTGTCGGTGACAGTCTGATCAGCACCTCCCAAGGGATAAAACTGATGCTTCTGCCACACTCCAAGGCCTTGACCTTCAGTCCACTCTGGACCCTCCTGGGGAAAGTATAGACGACAAGTAAATGGAGCTCTCCCAAGAGGCAGAGCTTTCCCTGGGAGCAAGACACGGGGCCCTCCTAGAACATTCTCTGCCAAGGAGGGTAGGACATGAACGCACCTGCCCATGCTGGCTGGCAACCAGCCAATCAGGAGCAGCAACCACAGAGTGCTCGCCATGTGCGAGGCAGAGTTCTGAGTCCTTGACATTCATTCACTCACTTAACTTCATGGCAACCCCCAAAAGATTGATATTATTATTACCCAATTCTACAGATAAAGAGACTGAGGCATTCATAGGCGAAATAACTTGCCCAAGGCCACATAGCCAGAAAGCAACCAAAGCTGGGGTTTGAACCCACACAGAGCAGGTTCCTGTCAGGACTGATACTGACACGCTCCTCTGCTGAGTCTTGCTGAGATGCGGTCTGGGTATCCTGGGGCAGGGTCGTCCAGGACCCAGAACCTCCTCCCCAGATGTGCCAGCCCTTCAGTTCTTACCTCTGCACCAGAGATCACTGACCTCTTGGAAGCTCCGGGCTAGCAGGGCCTTCCTGTGCCGCTGCCCCGCGGCCTCCAGCTGGACACTTCGCAGCTGCAGTGCCCAGCGCAGTGCCCGCAGGCCTTTCTGCAACAGCTGCCGGCGGACCAGTGCCACTGCCAATGTCACTGCCGCCATCCCCCGTTCTTGCGCCAAATGCTGCCAGGCTTGGAAACACCTGCACAGCAGCTGCCAGCTAGGGACAGACCAGGGCTGATGGGCTGGAGAGTGGCCATGCAGCCTGTCCAGCAATTCCTCGGGGGAAGCCCAGGCCACAGCTAAGATGCTAGCCACAGCCTGGGACGACTTGCCTGGTGTGGACAGTCACACCTGGAAGCCCCAGACAAGAGAGCTCCTGGAGGCAGGGCGGATGTCTCATCTGCCAACAGCCTCAGGAAGCTGTGGCTTCCAGGGCCCCAAACCTGGGAGCAGCCAGGCCCACGTCCCTGGTCCTAGACATCCATAGGAGGGGCCCCATGAGCAGAGGGCCCTCTTCTGTAACTGCTACCACTGCCTCTTCAGGAGCTCTCTCAGGAGGGCAGCCCCTACCCTTGACCCTCACTCCCCTCACCCTCTACCCCATAGCTATGACTTTACCTGGCAGCCTGGCACTCTGGGACTGCAGCACGTGGGGTCTTGCTCTGAGAAAGAGGACAGGCCAGGGGCAGGACTGCCACCGCCAGCCCCAGGGAGTGGAGGTAGGGGGAGAGCATCCCAGCCACTCCCTGCCCAGCCTCCTCCATCCTTTACCTGCAGTGCACTCCTCCGCAAGGCTGTGTCTGGCAGGCAGCAGGACCCAGAAGCTGGCATCTCTTTCTCCCTGCTGGCCTGCTCCCTGAGGACCCCCGCCCCACCTTCTGGCCCATGTAAGGCTCCCTGGGCTGCCCTAGAGAAGGCTGAGGAATGTAGTTTGGGCCCCCCCTGCTGTCTCCTGCCACTCTCTCCTGGCTCTAGGCGTTGAGCAGAGAGGAAGTCCTGCCCAGAGTCAAGGCAAACCCCAGAGAGCCCTTGTATAGTGACCTCAGATGACACTAACTTGCCATGTGCCCTGAGGGCTGGGGGTGAATGTACACAGTCCTTGAGGTCCTGAGGACACCTCTTATCCCAAGAAGTCAGGGCAGGTTGGCCAGGCTGGGGGTGGTCAGGGAGTCCCCAGCCACTGTAGCCCTGGGCATCTCTCCGTGCAGTGCCTGGGGACTCCAGGGATGCTGGGCGTCTGAGACAGGCTGCATGGCGCTCCAGGTGTTGCACGGAGGCCAGCAGCTGGGAAACAGCAGCACATGATGGGGCCTGGGCCTGAGCAGGGCCAGACAGGTCCTTCAGCGTGAGGGGTTCCCCAATGAGCCTAGAGGGTTCACTCTGCTGGCCACACCTCCATCTGCAGCCTGGCCTGGGACGCTCACGGAGTGGGGTACAGCCAGCAGCAGGCCTATAGCCTGGCCAGAGGGTGTCTGTGGCCTGTAGCTGGGACCACCCTCGGCCAGGACACAGACCAGCCGTTGGTCCTCTGGGAAGGGGATTTGCCCTGGATGGCCTGTGGGACCGGAAGCCTCCCTGGGAGGCAGGGCTGCTGAGGTCACTGAATCTCAGGTTGCTCTGCTGGAGACCCAAGGCCCGGGGCTGCACGTTACTCTGCTGCAGGCAGCTTGCATTGGCTGCCAGGCCCATTGCATCCTTCAGGCCCAGGCTCAGTGGGTGCCTAGCGCTGGTCAGGTTAGTCTGGACTGGAGAGGGCTCCTGATACAGCATCGTTCTTGGGGAAGCTGCAGTGGCATGCTCTCTCCTCTTGGACTGCCCCCACCAGCCAAGGTTACTGTGCAGGCTCCGCGGCACTCTCCATGGTTCTGAAAAGAAGAGTGACAGTCATAGCTTGAGAGGGACTCAGGTGGATAAGGGTGCTTTCCAGGCCTCATGTGGGAGGGAGCCAGAACTTGAGGGGTCTGCTGTCTTTCTGCCTCCAGCTAGACAGCCCTAGGACCCCTGGAGCCAAGTGGCATGAAGATCTGGCACAGTACTGCATTGAACACAGACCAGTGTGAGGGTGGGGTGGGGCTGGAGTGTGGAGGTGGCTGAGAGATCCGTGGGGGCCAAGGCTGGGATTGATGGTGGCAGCGGTGAGAGAAACAAGACTGAGGTGAGCTGCAGAGGTACAGTCCCTGGCTCGGAAGAGGGGAGCAGAGGAAAGACGGTGGGATGAGCATCTGGAGCCTTAAGCACACGAGTGATGGGAGCTGCAGCCAGGAGCCTGGGAGTCCTGAGCAGTCATGTAGTCACAGAGGGCTGCCCTAGGAACCGGCCAGGCAAGGGCTTGTGGATCTGGGCCTGGTAGGCAGAGTGGGCTGTGAACATGGCCATCTCTGTAGACAGGAACTAAAGCTCAGCTCGGAGCAGGTCAGCAGCCTGCCGCATGGTCACACTGCTGGCAATCAAACAAGTTAAGACATACCTGAAAACCTGCACCTGTTCCTGAGCTGCCGCTGCCCTGGGCTGGACCAGCTCCTGGGCCTTCTCACAGCAGCTGGAGCCAGAGCAGGGAGGTCCCTGGCCCACAAGCCCTAGCAGACTGACCTAGTGGCGGGGGCCAAGGGGAGGGCATTTTCGGCAGGGACCATAGACAGGCTCTCTCCTGTTCCCCATACTCCCCACCCTCGCCCTGGCCCAGGCTGGGAAGCCCCTGGCCTACTCTCAGCTGACCGTGGATGCTCCCCTCTGGGATCTGCAGACCCTGAGCTGGTCTGTGGGGGGAAGCCACTAGGTGCCTTGCCTGGCCTCAGGGGGGTAGCAGACCCTGGGGGCTCATTTTCCTTCTGTCCAGCCTCAGACCTGGACTCCATGGGCTGTGTGGGGCAGCAGCAGCGTTCCTGGTCTGATCCAAAGGGCTCTGTGGGGAGACGACAGAGTGTTCTGGCTCCCAGCCAATCCTCTCACCCTCCACTGTCAGTTCATATGGTGGGGTAGCCCCTGCTGCCCTTCAAGTGCCTCCCCTGTCCCTCCTGTTCTGGCCCCAGCACTGCCCTGTCTCTGTTGCCTTCCAGGGCCCACTCTTCCCAGCACCACCTGCTGATCCCCGCTGTCCTGCTCTTTAGCCACCGGCTCTCGTGATGGGGGCGGAGTGGGGAGGACCTGCCTTTTCCCCTTATTTCCTGTTGCTGCTTCCAGACGATTCTTTCATTGTCACCACCAACACACACCTGTCTCCCTCCTCCATGAGGCCCCACGCACATGGAAGCCTCCGAGGACTCCTGGTCTCCCTTAACGTTGTTCTGCTCAGCCACCGGCTCCTGTGATAACCTGCAGACGTGGTCATCTGGAACGCAGGCAGGAGCCATCCCCAGACCTTCCAACTCCCTCCAGCACTTTGATTCCACACTCCTTTCTCAGGAGACCCCAGCTTGGACCCACCTCCCACCTCAGTCCCTCCTCCCACAGCTTTAAGGATCACTCTCTTCGAGCCCCCTGCTTCCCTTTGCCGCATCTGCTTGATGAACTGGAGTCTACTCTGCCTGCTCTGAGCAGGTAGGCGTGGCTGGAGGCAGTGACCCAGCCCAGGGAGGTCCTCTCTCCAAGATCACTGCCGTCAACCTCGGGGCAGCCTAAGAGGCCGCTCGGAATCAGATTCCCAGGACAGGTTCTTGGCCATCATGGGCAAAATGCCTCTTGGGGTCTCTACACGCCACGAGTGCCTGGTTTGAGTCCTGGTGGTTCTGCTTCTGATTTCAGCTGATGTACACATGGCACCACGAGGGAGAGCTGGGTTGTCTTTCAGGCTCCTGGTTCTGGCCTGGCCCAGCCCTAGCTGTCATGGGCATTAGAGAACTAGCAGATGCAAGATCTCTCTCTCTCTCCCTTATTCTTTGTAACTCTGCCTTTCAAATAAAAGTCGTTAAAAATAAAAAAGAATACCAATGAGAAACCTGCACCCCCACTGGAATGCTGGGTTTGTGTCCCAGCTCCTCTTGGTTCCGGCTTCTTCTTGTGGCTCATCCTGGGAGAGTGCAGGTGATGGCTCAAGCACAAGGAATTCTGGGTTTCTGGCTTTGGCTTGCCTTTAGCCCTAGTTGTTGCAGGCATTTGAGAGTGAGCAAGCCCATGGAAATTTTCTGATTCTCTCTCTGGCTTTTTCAATTTAATTTAATTTATTCATTTTTTAAAAAGATTTATTTTATTTTTGTTGGAAAGTCAGACATACAGAGAGGAGGAGAGACAGAGAGGAAAATCCATCCACTGATTCACTCCCCAAGTGGCCACAACGGCCAGAGATGAGCCTGTCCGATGCCAAGAGCCAGGAGCCAGGAGCCTCTTCCAGGTCTCTCACGCAGGTGCAGGCTCCCAAGGCTTTGCGCCATCCTCCACTGCCATCCCAGGCCAGAAGCAGGAAGCTGGATGGGAAGTGGGGCAGCCGGGATTAGAACTGCTGACCATATGGGATCCCGGCACATGTAAAATGAGGACTTTAGCCACTACTCTACCGCACCAGCCCTTAAGTTTTATTTTTAAAGATTTATCTATTATTTGAAAAGAACAGTACAGACAGAAAGAGAAAGATCTTCTAACCCTCTAGTTTACTCCCCAAATGACCACAATGACCAGAACTGAGTTAGACTGAAGCCAGGAGCATCTCCCAGGTCTCCCACATGGTTGGCAGTGGCCCAAACATACGGGCCACCTTCCGTGGCTTTCCCAGGCATGTTAGCAGGGAGCTGGACAGGACTTGAACCAGTACCCATATGGGATGCTGGCATTACAGGCTGAGGCTTTACCTGCTATGCCACAGCACTAGCCCCATCTGCCTTGCAAGTAAATAAAAATCAAACTTATACTGTCCCTCCACCCAAATTCAACTCTCACTGTAGCCATGTCCCACCTGTAAACAGCTGGCAGCTGCAGCCTCAGGTGGCTCAGATGAAAATCCTGGAGCCACTGGGCTCTCCTTCACACTGTGACAGCTCAGCTGCAAACTGTACACTGCCGAGGTATCCAGGATCTGACCCTGTGCAGCTGGTCCCAGCTTCCCTGGGCCATCCCAGCAACAGCTCTTCCTCCTAACTGGTCCGGGTCCCTATACCGACAGAGAGCCCACGGGGGTCAGGTCATGTTTCACTTCAACGCAGAGTCCTCTGTAGGGTTTGAGGCCACACTGCAGGGGCTGGCAGGTGGCCTGTTACGTGAACAGGTTTGTTACTCAACAGAACACCCAACCCTTGTTGCTGCTCCATCCCACCACCCTTGCTCCCACCCAGGCCTTTGATGCTTTTGTGTTCTGTGCCTGGGGCTTGGTCCCTCTCTCCCTCAGCCTTTGCCACGGGGAGACTTCCCCTGTTCTGTCCCGGTGGCCATCCCTCAAGCACCCACTTTTCATTCCTTCCCCCCGTTCTGAGGAACTGGTCTCTTCTCCAGCGGACCCCGAGACACACAGGATGGGCTCTGTGGTCCCCTTCTCACCCCGCTCTAGTTGCTGGCACATAGCAGGGATTTTAAAACTGGGACTGAGTCCAGCACTGTGGTGCAGCATCTTAAGCCACCACCTGTGATGCCAGCATCCCATATGAGGAGTCGTTCCAGTCCTGGCTGCTCCACTTCCCATCCAGCTCCCTCTTAAAGCCCTTAGGAAAGCAGTGGACGATGGCTCAAGGGCTTGCAACCCTGCACCCAGCTGGGAAACCAGGAAGAAGCTCCTGGCTTTGGCCTCTCCCCAGTCCCGTGGTGACCATTTAAGGAGTGAACTAGTGGATGGAAGAGCTCTCCCTTTGTGCCTCTGCAATTCTTTCAAACGAATATTTTTTGTTTTTTTTAAAGCATTACCCTTCTGTGAACAACTGATTGTGTCATTTAGTCTGCCACCCAGGTCCCTGCTGACCCCTGAGCCCTACACACTCACAAACAGGCCTGGCTCACCAGTCCCTGCGCTGCACCCAGCCTCCCTCGCCACCCGCGTCCATTCCAGGGCACTGGCAGCCTCCCTCCACTTCCGATCTACTCTCGGACCTGCCTACTCGGGCGTCAGTCCTCCTTGGGTCCTCCCTCGAGCCGACCGGTCAGAACCTGAGGGGACCTCGGCGGCGGACGGAGGGCTAACGACCCTGGCAGGCGATGGGGTGCAAACAACGGAAGACTGCAGAGCGAGGCTTCCCCGTGCTAGCCCCGCCCCGAGGCTGGCCACGCCCTCAAGGGAACGCGGCTCTAGCCCCGCCCCGAGGCTGGCCACGCCCTCAAAGGAAACGCGGGCACTGGCCCCTCCCCACAACGTGGGCGTGGCCTTCGGCGTCTGCAAAGGGCAAGAGAGACCGGCTGTACCCACAATTCCTGGGGCCCAGCGGCGTGGCCTAGTGGCTAAAGTGCCCACATTTCCTGCCAGTGAAGACAGAAGGGCTAGCCCTTGGGTACTGGGCATTTGTGCGCGGGATTTAAAACAAAATAGATTTTGAAACCGTTGGGTTTGGGGAGCTCTAAGTTCCCTTGTGGTTCAAACCGGATACCCAAGTTTCTGACTCCGATATGGTACTTTACAAATTGTTGTCTGCACAACATACTCTCAGGGTCATCCCCCGGCGCCCTGGAGAACTGGATCCGCAGAGTCCTGAGGATGCCAGTGGGGAAAACCGATTTCCTGAAAAACTGCATAAAGAAAGCATGTAATAAATATTCACAGGATTAAAGGTGAGCTGGAGTACCCAGCCCTCCTTTCTCTGAGTAAGTGGACAGTACACAGGCAACGAGATCTGACATTTATTATTGTCACATCATTTTCCATCTTCACTAACCCCTGAGGCACTGTGATGCTCCCATTTTGCAGATAATAGACGTGGGAAGGTTCGGTGGCCCGCCGGACCCAAGGCTGGTTTGGAGCCAGGTCATGAGAGTCGGGAACTGGAGACTGAGGGGGACTGGTGAGCACCCCCGGGGCAGCTTCTCTGGCTTCCTCATCTTGGAAGGCTCAGCTTTGCCAAAGCCACAAATAGATCTGCCATCCGCCACAGCAGTGACTTCCACCTCCGGAACAGAAGCTGGAGGAACTTGCTTGCTATGGTGGCAGTTTCTAGAATGTCAAGCCAGACTGAAACCTAGAGATTGCCCTAAAGACAGGGCTTTTTAAAGAGAAGTCTGGGCCTGCCCTGCCCCAACCCCCACTCCTCTGATGAGCTCCAGCCCTGTGGGCCCACCCCTGCCGTCACCTTCCTCTCCCTCCTCCATCTAGCCCACCAGTGCCTCCCATGAGACTGAGGTCCTTGCTGGTCTCACCTGCCTCCTCCCTGGACACTGGGCACACTGCTATGCTGACTGCCCAGACGCTGGGCAGGAATGTCCAGCCTCGGGCCTTCTTATGGCCCTTCATGGCTTGTTCCTGCCACCTGCAGCCTGGCACTCTGGCAGCGACACAACGCTGCCCAGCTCCGGGAGGCTTGGGGTCGTGCGTTCAGTGACTTGGGGTTTGTCCCTCGGGTGGGGGGACCGGCACTGTGGTAAAGCAGGTTAAGCTGCTGCTTGTGATGCAGGCATCCTCTGGCAGAGGACTGATTTAAATCCAGGCCACTGTTTCTGATCCAGCTTCCTGCCAATGCTTCTGGAAGGCAGTGGATGGCAGTGGAGGATCTGGGTGGCTACCACCCATGTGGGAAACCAGGATGGAGCTCCTTCCTGTCTGTGGCTTGGCACAGTCCTGGCTGCCACAGCCATTTGGGGAGTGAACTGGGAGATGGTACATCTTTGTCTCATGCCTGCTGCTACTCTGACCTTCAAATAAATAACAAGTCTTTAAAAAAAGAGCTTGGGGTCAGCATGGTAGCACAACAAGCTAATCCTCTACCTGTAGCACTGGCATCCCATATAGGCACTGGTTCGAGTCCTAGTTGCTCCACTTCCAATTCTGCTCCATGCTAATGCACCTGGGAAAGCATGAGAAGTTGGCCCAAGGCCTCGGACCCCTGCACTCATGTAGGAGACCAGGAAGAAGCTCCTGGCTCCTGGCCCAGCCCCAGCTCTTGTGACCACTTGGGGAGTGCAAATTGATCCCTTAGCCGTTCTCCGCCTGGGGCTTGCTGTGGAAGGGGGCAGCACACGGGCACCCCCGCAGCGCTCCTGCCTGCCTCGGAGGGCTGTGTTCCAGTAGCCACTTTGCTTGAGGATCAGGAAGTCTCCTGAGGGCTTCAAAGTCACCCTTCTCCACCCCTCTCCCTACCCCCTTCTCACAGAAGCTCCTGGGCTGCCTGGGGAGCCCTGCCTGACACAGGGGCCATGTACTAGGTGGCATGGGACTCACTGTTTTTGATTTGTGGGCCGCACACAGGCCCTGCCAGCTCCCTTGTGCCAGGAGGCAAATAGACACAGATGGCCTCGGTTGGTCTCCCATTCCCCCGGCCACGTGCCACGTCCGCTTAAGACCACTACAACCAAGTACTTGACATGTCCTTCTGGTCCATGGTTTTGCCCTTCACCACGCACACAGCCAAGAATGGCATGGGATGGGCAGTGGTGCTAGGGACTAGTGCTGTGGCACAGTGAGTTAAGTTGCTGCCCGTGACACTGACATGCCATATGAACACCAGCTAAACGCCCAGCTGCTCTGCTCCTGATCCAGATCCCTGCTAATGTGTCCAGGAAAACAGAAGACAGCCTGAGTACGTGGGTCCCTGTCATCCAATAGGAGACTGCAATGGAGCCCCAGGCTCCTGGTCTCAGCTCAGCCCAGCCCGACACTGCAGCCATTTGGGGACTGAACCAGCAGAGGGAGGCTCTCTACCTCTGCCTTTCAAATAAATAAATCTTAAAAAAAAAAAAAGATCTACGGCACGGCTGGGATTTCACACAATGCCCTCCTCGTGCACCTGCCAGCCTGCAGCCTGCAGCCTGCTCCACTCCCAGCCGGGGAAGCCTCGGCGGCCCAAGCAGGTCTGCTGCATGCACGTAACTGCTCCCCGTCCTCCGCACAATGAGCACGCCATGGCTCGTCTGTCGGTTTCCCAGCAGCCAGGCCATTTCCCGTTCTCCCTGTTCTCCCTCCTGGCTGAGAGGCCCCATGTTGGCCTCAGTCCAGCACCTGCTGCTGAGAAGCCCCAGGCACTTGCTTCCCCTGCAGCCCCAGGACTTCATCTGGCATCTGGCAGCTATTCAAGAATGGGTGGGGGGCAGTTGGGGAGGGACCGTATCCATGACTTTGACCTCTGATATCAGAGACCGAGAGAGACGTGCAGGTTATGAATAGCCAGAGAACACAGTTGGGTGGGAAGTGGCCTTGGGAGACGTTCTGGAGCCATGTCAGCCCAGGTTGACATGTTCCAGCCCTCTGCGGCCAGCACATAGGGGCCGTAGCCAGGCACCTCAGCTCCCACCTGGCCCATGCACCTCACCACCTCAGTGACCACCTCACGCCTGGCGGTGACCAGGAGAGCCTCTACACTGCCCAGAGCCACCCTGAGGGCAGGCAGTAGCCTTTTTCAGAAGACACGAAGGCATGCGGTGGTAGAGCAGGGTTCATGTTGATAGCCAGGTCCTATGATTTGGAGGCACGGATGCCTGTGTGCCACACCAACCTGTGCCCTCTGCAGCTGGGGCCAGGGCTGGGCCAGAGCCAGGCTTGGAACAGGCCCAGCCAGCCTGGTGTGTGAGCCCCTCTCCCCTTAGCCCCAACCAACAGGTGGCTCAGCCCAGACATGACCTGAAGATTCTAGTGAGACACTGTCCCAGCCAGAAGAAGCTAGGCCCCAGCCCAGCCAGGAGGTCAAGCACGGCCCGGGACACAGCCCACCTCCAGAACTGCCCACACTTTAATGCCGTGTCTCCGAGAAGGAAACCGTGGGCTGTCTCAGCCCTGGGCCAAGTGGCTGGGCAGTGGGAAACTTGGGGACCTCACTCTGGGCTCAGCAGTTCTGGGTCAAGCGTGGCCTGAAGCACCAGGGGCACCTGTGGAAGGGCTCAAGGAATTGGAGGGGCATCACGGAGCCACCACAGTGACACCATGGGGCCTGGGCCTGCTCCATGCAGCTGTGGGAGGGAGGAGGTCAGGGGACCATGGGCTGCCTTCAGGGGGCGCACAGGAAGCTTGGGGAGTCTGGGCCAAGCAGGACACTGATTCATAGGGTGGGAGAGGACAGTCATCTTAGGGCCGAGAGAGGGAGGGCAGGAGCGTCCCTCGAGTGACCTCCTGGTATCAGGAGGTGAGAGCAGTCCAGCTGGAACCAGGCACCTTGCAGCCAGCCTCAGTATCCTCGGGCAGCCTGGTCCCTGCCCTCGGGGCCCGCGAAGGGGTCCGCAGGTGCAGCTGGTGAGTCAATCGTCTGGTAGGCATTGTGTTCCTGTGAAGATCCAAGGAAGCCTGGGGGAGTGGGGATGGAGGGAGGGGAAGGAAACAACAGGGAGCACTCAGTCTGCTGAGCCCATACCACAATGTGTCCTCCGGCCAGGGCTGGGCTGCCCCTCCTGGACAGCAGCCCTGGCAGCATCCCAAACATGAAGCTTTTGGCAAGTGCCATCTATTCAGTGCCCCTGTCCTTCCTTCTCATCATTCCCACTGTACAGATGGGGAAACTGAGGGTCAGCAAGCTGGTGGACCTGCCAGAGGACTGGGCAGCAGCCTGGCCCAGGACTGGGCAGCAGGACTCGCAGCCAGAGCTCCCAGCCATCCTGCCATGGGCTTCCCCAGGCAGTGCATGCTCAGGAATCCACAGCCACAACACAATGTGTTACAGCACTCACAGGGCTGTACTCAAGAGGATATGGGCCGGGGTGCCAGGTGGGATGGTGGGCCTCCAAGCCTCCGCCCCTTTCAGTCCCACCCACTACTCCGCACACTTGTCCTGGGCTCTGGGGCAAGTTCCAAAAGCCGCGGGCCTCAGTTTCCCTAACTGTCCAGTGCAAGGGACATTCCTGGCTCCAATCACCTGGAAGCAGGTCCAGGCAGTGCTGAGACTGACTAACCATCCCCAGGGCAGCTCTGGGCCTCTGCTCCCAACAGTGCAAAATAAAGTCTACACCCCACCTCACCCCACTTCTCACAGAGGAAGGAGGGGGCAGGAAATCAGAGTGTGAGTCAGCGGGCAGGACCAAGGTTCAGTGCCTCGAGAAGTGACCAGGCACTGGGAGGGCATGGGACTGGGGCTGGGTGGCAGACAAGGAGCCCAGGGATCAGTGCTATCTTTACTGATGCTCCCCAGCCCCCCAGGAAGAGGAAGACTCTGTGTGGAAGGACGAAGAGTGTCAGGGCAGGGACTGGGTAGGCATCCAGGGAAGGCCACAACTAGAAGGGAAGCACACCCCCACTCCACCCGTGGCCACTGCTCCCAGCTCTGCCTGCAGCCTGGCAGCTGGCAAGGCCACGCTTCTCCCTGCCCCGAGCCCCAGGCACAAGGGCAAGGCCGGCTCCTTGCAGTAGGGGCTGGTAGGGGTCAAGCCGAGGGGAGACGGAGGAGGACGGGGGCTGCCCGGGGCTCACCCTCACCTGGGTGGAAGAGATGGTCGCCGCCGCGCTCCTGGTACATGTGGTAGACGAGGTAACAGGAGAGGGGCTTGAGCAGCAGGCTGAGGATGGCCATGCCAGCCCCGAAGCGGCTCGTGTCCGAGAGGCTGGAGCGCGGGTAGAAGACGCCCAGGTGGATTATGTCCAAGACGACGGTGGCCAGCAAGCCGCCTAGAAACTGCACAACACGCCCTCCCTAGCTTCCGGGTGGGACACCTACTCCACCCCATGGGGCCCCCGCCATCATGCTAGCCTCTCAGCTGGTGCCTGCCTGGGTGTTGAGGACCTATGGTTGGGCACTCAAGCCAGCACACAGGCTCCTGGGAATAAGTACAGATGTGGATGCCAGCCCACAGCTGGACCCAGGAGGCCGGTCCTGGGCCCAGCCCCATCCCTGCCCACCCACCAAATCCTGTCACCCCCAGGGCTGTAACAGGAACCAGCCTGGGTTCCAGGGCTTTCCAGGCGAGAGGTCCCTTGCAATCCAACCGTCTCAGAGACCCTGTGAGGCCACGGCCTCAGCCTAGAGAGGCCCGATGGGCACGGTGCATGCTGGGAGTCCTGCACCCTCGGCAGGGCTGGGCCGCCAACTTGCCCTTCCCGGAGCAGTGAGCGTCTCTGGGGTCACAGAGTACACACACCACTGCTAGGGACCACAGGCACTCTGGGGTCCCACCTGGGCTCCGTGTCCTACCTAAGGCGGGCAACAGCAGACTTGGGGTTCGCAGGGCCGGCCAGTGGAGCCCAGGAGTTGGGTTATACCACACGGGGAGTGGGGACACCAGGTAGAGGGAGGAGGCAAGGGGGAGAGCCTTGTTGGCCCCACACTCACCATGCTGATGGCGTCGATGGAGTCCCGCTGGGCCACGGCCCACACACCCAAGGCCAGCACGGTGAAGTTAGCCCAGGCGTAGGACCCCGAGAACACAATGCAGCCCCTGCAGGAAGAGCCGGGTCAGGTCAGCTGCCTCCCTCCTGCTCAGCGCTCGGGCTCCTCCTCCGAGACCTGAGCTGGGAGCTCCTCCTCTCCTCCTCAACTCTGTGTTTAGGGCGCTGCTCCACCTGACACTGCTGATGTAGCCGTCTGTTGTCAATCCAAGGAACACCACGCTCAGTCCTGGTAGGGCAGCAGCTAGTGCCTGGAGCAGGTGCATCGTTAAGGGCTTTTGCCTTAACAACTCTTGGAGTTGGGCACTACAGTTGCTCTCATCTCAGGGATGTGGAAGCCAGGGCACAGAGAGGGTAAGCAATGTGTCTGGGGTCACACAGCTCTTAATGGGAAGGATGGGGCTTGAATAGTCTGACTCACCAGTCATGTTCTCACCCACTCTGCTCAACAATGATGCTGAAAACCTGCAAGGACAGGGTCCTGACCTGCCTGCTCCTTCCTGGACCCACGTGGCCTTGGCTGCCGCAGTGTGAACTGACATGCCATCCTCTGAAGGTGATCAGTGGGGACACAGAGTGCCCAGGGTAGTGGCTGGGCTCTGCTTTCCAGTTCAGCTTGGTGCTAGTGCACACTCGGAGGGGGGGGGGGCGGTGGCAGCTCATGCCCTGGCATGGCTGTTGGAGCTCATGTCTGCGTGCCTTTGCCTTTCAAATAAATCAGACCAAACCAGGAGGGTGCAGCTGGGACCCATAGGCTCCAAATCATCTATCCCATCTTCTGCCTTGAAGAAAGCAGATGCCAGGGCCACAGCCTGTCTCACCAACTCAGAAACTGACAGAGCAACTGAGAAACCTGTCCCCTGCCCCTGCTCCCAAGGCCACGAGCTATGAGCAGCACAGCCTACCCCACTCACAGCTGCTCACGAGTGCGTGCCCCTGAGCCGGCAAGTGTGGGTGCCTGTCTTAGGCGGGCAGATGGCAATGCTAAAGGTCAAGTGTGTACTCCCCAGGCCCTCCTGGCCCAGTGGCAGCCCTGGGGCATGTCACACTCCTCCCTCATGGCTCCTGCTAGGTGTGCAGGCCGCCTTCCCCACCGCACACATGGAAGCCACAGCTGCCAAGGCAGGTGGCCTCCCAAAGTGACCTGGCCACACCACGGCAGGGCCAGGTCTGACCCAGCTAGCACGGATCCCGGCAGACGCAGCCGGACCTCCTTGGGCTGTCCACTCACCAGGTTGTCAGCAGCCAGTGAATCAGAAGAATCACCTGTGGCACAAAGGGCGCAGGGTCAATACATGTGGCCACCACGGGGGCAGGAAAACTTCCCAAACCAGGTGCTGTGAGCTAAGCCACTGCTCGGAATGCTGGCTTCCCTGGTTCAAGTCCTGACCACTCCACTTGCCATCCAGCTTCCTGCACATGCACCCTGAGAGGCAGTGGCAAATAGCCCAGGTTCCTGGGTCTCTGACATCCACATGGGAGATCCAGAAGGAGCGCTAGGCTCCTGGCCTCAGGAGCCTTGGACATTGCAAACATTATTCTGCTTTTAAGTAGTTTTAAAAAATAAATAAGGGCTGACGCTGTGGTATAGCAGGTAAGTTAAGCCTCTGCCAGCAGTGCTGGCATTCCACAAGGGTACTGGTTTGAGTCACAGCTGCTCCACTTCCTACCCAGCTCCCTACTCATGTGTCTGGGAAGGTAGCAAAAGGTGACCCAAGTCCTTGGGTCCCTGCACCCCTGTGAGAGACCCAGAAAAGGCTCCTGGCTCTGGACAGGCTCACCGCCAGCCTTTGTGAACATTTGGGGAGTGAACCATTAGATAGAAGATCTTTCTCTCTATATAAATCTGCTTTCTAAATAATAATAAACAATCTTTAAAATAAACAAATAAGCCACACACACAGGAGGTCCATGTCTGGCACCTATAAGGGATTTACTGCCAGCTCAGAGAAACGCCACCCATGGCAAGGGATCTGGGTGAAAGCAAGGAAAGGCATGCTGGCAGAGTTGCCCTGCAGCACACCCAGTTCATGCAGACCCTGTGCCGAACATGCCCCGTGGCCTTATCTGGGCCAGCCCACGGCGTTTGCCACACACACTGCATTAGTCCCATTTACAAGGCTCGGGGCCAGTGTTGTGGCTTAACAGCTAAGCTACTGCCTGCAAGACCAGCACTCATCTGGGTCCACTTCTGATCCAGTTCCTGGGCTTCCTGCTAACGCACCTAGGAAAGCAGCAGCCGACAGCCCAAGTGCTCGGACCCCACTTCGGAACGTACCTGCTGCAGGTCACCTGGCTGGGCACAGTGGCCCTGAGGCGAAGCTTGCAGACAGAGGGAAGTGGCCAAGGAAGGGGACATCAGGGAAGCAGCTGGTCACCCTGACCTCTGCTTCAGAAACAACCTTCATTCAGGGGCCCTGGCTTCCCAACCTGGACCGGGCACCCCCAGAGGTTGTGAGCACATGGGGCTTTGATTTTTCCCAGAGTAGGAAGGGCCTGTAACAGGGAATGCAAACCAGCAACTGGCCAAGGCCCGAGCTCCACCACCTGTTAGGGGAAATACCACAGATCTGCTGTTACTGCAGATGCTCAAGGCCCAAGGTCCCCTCTTGGTGACATCACATCTGTTTCAAAAATACCTAAGAGTGAACTCAGCTCCTGATGCTCACTGCATTCCTAGGCACCCTGCCTCAGTTTCCCCATCTTTGTTTACTCTGCAGTGTCTCCTGTCCCCTACTACAGACAGACCCAGCGCCCAGGGAAGCTCCAGGGAGAACATGCCAGACCTGCCCTGCCCTGTCCTTTCTGAGAGCTAAGAGGAGCAGTTAGTGACTCCCCACAGTGCCTGGGCCTCCCTAGTCCTGCAAGCCATGGAGGACCCCCAGACAGACAGGTACCCAGCAGTGGGCCCAGCAGCAGGAGAGAAGGGCCTGAGCCCCTGGGCTCTCTCACAACCGTGCCCAGCCCGGCTGAGAGCTCTTTCCCAGGTGGGTTGATGGCACCACAGCAGCAGGCTAGGCTGGGGTCTGGGTCATGGTTCACGGCCCCAGGGGCTCCCTCTCCATGGAATAGAGGCAGCACCTGGCATAGAACTGCCAGGGCCAGGGCCTGCACAGTCACCATTTGTATGTCTTCATGTGACAGCTGTAACCATGGAGTCTATATTGCCTGGCTACTTGATCCATGTCATACCTATGTGACAGCAGTAGAATGGAGGCTTGGAGATTAAGAAATGGGCCCAGGGGCTGGTGCCACTTTCCATCTTGGCTGCTTCACTCCAACCTAGCTCCCTGCTAACGTGCCCAGGAAAGCAGTGGAGCATGGTTCAAATCCTTGGGCCTCTGCATCCACATGGGAGACCCAGAAGAGGTCTCAGCTCCAGCCATTGTGGCCATTTGGGGAGTGAACAAGTGGATGGAAGATCTCTCTGTCTCTGTCTCTCTCTATAACTTTGTCTTTCAAATAAAAATAAACCTTAGGGGGGAAAAAAAGAAGAAGCTGGCTCAAATCATAAAGTTTAAAACAGAGCCTGGAGGCAAATCCCAGAGTTTATCCCTCTAGCCTGAGTCTGATTGCTGGATCCTCCTGTCATCACTAGAAGGTGAAGTTTGCTTCACCGTCTTTTCACAGCGAGGAAATTGACACTCAAACAGATTGAGAAACCAACTCAAGGCCCAAGACTGGGCTCCACTACTGAGCTGCACCACCAGGATCCGGTACAGGGGGGAAGGGTGATGGGAACGGAGGCTGAGGGCAAACCAAGGGGCTGGAGGACCCTAAACCCAATGCTGTCCACCGGAGAACCCAAGGGCAGTGGGGGTGGGACTTCCCAGACAGGCAGCGGACACCAGCCATGCTGTGGGCGGAGCAATATACTGGCTACATCCCTTTCTGCCCTAAGGCCTCACCACTATCCACCTCCCTTACAGCAGACACACAGGGGTGGGTGGAGGGGAGGGAGGAGACTGCGGTCATGGCCCCCTGGGAGGGGATGTGGAGTCCTGCAGTGATGAATGGCAAGGTCTTGGCTCAGGGACTTGGGCCTCAGTCATCCCTTAGCACTGCCTCCTGCTCTTGTGTGACACAGTGCTGACGACATCTGTCTCACAGCGTCCTGTGCGGATCCAGGGGACAGGGATGGAGAGTTGCACATAACACCCAGCACACAGTGCCACACCCTGCCTGGCAGCTCTCATCTCTACTACGTAGGAAGCCAACTTCCTGAGCTCTCAACTCCAGCACTGCCACCAGCCCCTGGCCCGCTGGTTCCACCCCCAGGGCCTCTTCTCCCCCAAGCAGAGTCACTTCTAAGCTAATTCTCCAGCTTGGCACTCACGTTGAGAGGTGCAGATGGGGCTGCTCAGCTAGGGACCATAGTGTGGGCAAAAGGCCTGGGCAGCTACTTCTCACCTGGGCTGGACACAAGCAGGCTCTCAGCAAGTACCCGGGGAGTGTATGGCAAGGGGGTGCACTGGTGGCAGGGGGCCAGGCCCCAGCTCATCAGGGGGATCTCAGATCATCCCGGAAAGTGCCTGTGGACAAGGAGCTGACAGCTGGCCTCCCCGGGGCAGGCTAGACACAGCAAACAAAAATACAGACTGGCCAGCGAGTTGTATATTTCAGATCATCAATAATTAGTATGTCCCAATGACGAGAGCAACCCGGCAGAGGCCTGAAACCACAAACAGCAGCGATCTGAATGTATGCTATGATCGCATTGTTATGCTATTTACACTGGTCTACTTGGCAATGAGAGCTCAGTCTCCCACCTGCTGGCTTACTCCCCAAATGCCCAGAGAAGCCAGCTTGGGCCAGGCCCAAAGCCAGGAATCCTTAATTCCATCCAGGTCTCCCCTAACAGTAGCAGGGTCCAAACACTCAAGCCATGCCTCCTTCTCTCTTTCTCTCTCTCTCTCTCTCACACACACACCCCGCCCCCAATCCCAGGATGCATTAGCAGGAAGCTGGGGCAGCTGGGATCAAACTGGCACTTCCATATGGGACGTGGGTATGTCCAGCAGTGGCTTACTGCACTGTACCACAACTCCCAGCCCAAGACATACATTGCTAGGATAAAGCTTAATTTACCGACTGGGCACAGTCTGAGGTTAACAACAACAATAACGAAACCAAACAACCGTCCGGATATGCAGTCATGAGAGTTATATGAACATGGCCTCTTTCAAAAGAACCCAACAAAAATTAGTACCTTCTGGAGCCTTGGCAACTTACACACCTGAGCCAAGCTGCTCATCCTTGGACAAGATCAGCTTTCTCAGGTGGCCGTGCCTGACTAGCCAACCTGGCACACTTCAGACTCCTTAAACCAATCTTCTCTGCCAATTCCTGCAGCTTCTTCCCTCAGCTGACCCACTCGCTGCAGAAAAGGCAGCTGGTGTTAACCCCAGGCTGCCTGGAACAGAGTGAGCCCTCTGGAAATTCCTTCCCAGCCAAGCCCCCTCCCCGCTCCCCCTGCTGTTGACTGGAAAGACTTAGCAAGGTTTGCTGCAGTGAAAACTCGCCCGGGGCCAGAGGGATCACACAGTTCTTTTGTCACCAGCTCTGTCTGTCATGGCCGAGTCCCTGACACCAACGGGGTGCTAAGTGCTTAGTCACTCGTAAGTAAAAACGCATTGCTGGACACAGTCTCAAAGGAGCCCCTGCCAAGACCCAAAATGGCCAGCGTGCACCAAAGCTGGGCTCCCCAAGCCCTCGGCTGCGTCCTGGAACCAAACGCCGTGCAACCAGGGGGGTCCGCCAGCATAAAAAGGAAAGCGCGTGGTCCTGACCGCGGGGCCAGGCTCAAGCCCAGGAAACGAAGAAGTCCTAGAAGCCCCCGGGGGTGGGGCGGGCAGCGCCCAAGCCAGGATCTTCTGTTTTTAAGTAACCTCCCGATGACATAAGGACGCCGAGCTTGCACAACTCCGCAAAACCCAGACCTGACAGTTGCTGATTTCCTCAGGGTTAGCGTGGGGCCCCTGGGGAAAGGCCGGGTCCTCTTGCTGGCCGTGAGAGCCCCTTCTCGGGTCTCTGTCCGCGCCCTGCTCTGCGGCTTGGGAGCGCAGGGCCGAGCAGTCCTTCAGGGCGACTCCGGGTGCGGAGACCCTGGCCCCGGCCCTGCCCTGCCCTGCCCTGCCCTGCCCTGGTCAGCCGCCCCCGGAGGCCCCTTGCGGCCTGCCGCCCACCTCCCTCTCCCTTGGGGAGCGACCCTTCCCCAGTCCTCCGCCACACGGCCCTCCCACCTTCCGTTAAAAAAAAAAAAAAAAAAGCAAAAGCCCGACACCCTCCCGCAGACCACAGTCGCTCCGCCCCGCTCATCGCCACCTTCAGGTTCACAGCAGGTAGCTCCATCACGACCCCGGCCGAGGGAATCTGCGCGGCGGCCGCAGGGCCTCCTGGGATCCGAACTCGGGATGCCCTAGGGCAGGCCCCGCCCCGCCCGTTGCGGCGGCTCCAACCCCGACTCGGCTCTGGGCCACGTGAGGCGGGCCCGGCGGCCCCGTGACCGCCGTCCAGTTGCTAGGAGACGGCGTCGTGCTGCGCGCACGCGCGCTCCTGGAGGCGCCTGGCTCCTTCCAGCCACAGCAGCTGGACAACTCAGGATTTGGCGTGGACCAGCGGGGCGGTCTCCTCCTACCAGGCTTGTATCCCGGGGGTGGCGGAACTAATGGGGTCCCCTGCACCTAGGAGAATTTGGAGGATCCTTGTGCATATTGTGAAGGGAAAAAAAAATATTCACACACTTGTTACAGCCATAGGAGATGATTGAAGGTTATGGATCTAAGGAAAAGAGATGGGGCTCAACTTGGATAGTGAGGTTTGCAGCCAGGGTGGAGCGCAGTGAGGGGACAGGCGGTGGGAATGCTGAGAGGAGAGGTCAGAGGTGAAGGTTGCTTGCTAACCTTGGCAGGGTGGTCACCAGCATTTGGGCTGTGCGGGTGCTGCCGGGACAAAAGCACACACAAGTCAAGGCTGCAAGCTAGTCATGAAGGTTTGCCTTGCTCTTATTTCCAAGGAGGGAAAGACTGCGGGAACTCGGGAAACTGCAAAGTGGAGTCTGACCCAGGGTCCCTGGAGGTCTAGAGAAATGACTGTCCCTAGATGCATGACATAAGTTCTGCAGGGCTGCAAGTGAAACGAGATTGATTGATTGATTGATTGATTTCAGACTGGCTCTGTGATTCGGGACTAAAGCCACCACCTGCAATACTAGCACATCATAAAGGCTTCGTTCAGGTTCTGGCTGCTCCACTTCCCATCCAGCTTCCTGCTTGTGGTCTGGGAAAGCAAGGGAGGATAGCTCAAGTGTTTGGAACCCTGCCACCCACGCCAGAGACCAGGCTAAAACTCCTGGCTCCTAGCTTGTGCCATTTGGGAAAGGAGCCAGCAGATGAAAGCTTCTCTCTCATTCATTCAAATAAATCTCTGAAGAGAGAGAGAAATCCATCTTCGATCCACGGATTGACTCCCCAGATGTGCACAGCATCCAGGTGTGGGCCTGGCGGAAGCCAGGAGCTGGGACTCCATCCTGGTCTTCCACATGGGTAGCAGACACCAAAGTCCTTGGGCTGTCCTGTGCTGCCTTCCCAGGCACATTAGCAAAAAACTGGATCAGAGGCAGAGTTGCTGGGTCTCAAACTTGTAATCTGATGTGGGATGCTGGCAGCCCAAGCAAGGGCTTTACTCACTGTGCCACAGCACCAACCCATATCACAGGTCTAAGTTCATGCCATCTGGAGACACAGAGCCCAAAAGAAGGAAAGCCAATCCCATGTCTGGCATTGGAAACAAGAACTGGCAAGCTTTGACCAACCAATGGCTACATTCAGTTTGGTTTAGGATTAGCTAATATTGTTATTCTTAATTATTTCTACAAAGACTTGCTTATGTGAAAGGCAGAGAGAGAGAAGGAGAAGCAGAGAGAGCTTCCATCTTCTGGTTGACTCCCCACACAGTCACCATGTTTGGGACTGGGCCGGGAGGAGGCGGTGGAAATCAGCAGCTGAGAGCTCCATCAGGGCCTCCCTTGTGGGTGACACAGAGGCCCCAACGCCTGGGCCGTCCTCCGCTGCTTTCCCAGGTGCGTGAGCAGGGAGCCGGGTCAGAAGCGGAGCAGCTGGGACGTGACCTGGCGTTCCAGTGCGGCATGCCTGTGTCGTAAGCAGTGGCTGATGTCATTCACTAGTTATCGTTCACTGATCATTGCTGCTGGCTAGATGTCGGGGCTCACAGTGCCGCCCTGGCATGGGCGCTGAGTAACCAGCGGGGGCACAGAGGTCTTGAAGTCTCTGCTGCCCTCCTGTCTCCCATCCCGCTCTCTTCTGATAAAGTTACAGAAACTAGAAATCACAGAAACCACAGCGGCAGGCCTCCTGGCCCGCCCTCTCTCCCTGCTCCCTGCAAGAGCCTTGTTCCAGAGGGATCGTGCCCCTGGCTTGGGGGACAGAAAGCTGCCACGAGTTCCAGAAGCCTGCCAAGTGCCAGCCTTGCTGGGTTCCCCACATCTGCCAGCACAGGCACTGCTCCCCATGGCCGTTGACCCCCAGCAAACCTGAGCACAGAAACCACGACCTGGCTGGGCCTCTGGTCATGGTCTCCGAGGGCTCTGGGCTCATACAGGACTTGAGTAGGGGGTTGGTGTTGTGGTACAGCAGCTGAAGCCACTGTCTGTGATGCCAGCATCCCCTGGGAGTGCCAGTTCCCATCCTGGCTATTCACCTCTGGTCCAGCTCCCTGCTAACACAACTGGGAAAAGCAGCAGACGATGGCCTGGCTCCTTGGTCCCCTGCCATCTGTGTGAGAGACCCAGATGGAGGCCCAAGCTCCCAGCTTCAATCTGGCCCAGCCCTGGCCACTGTGACCATTTGCGGGAGTAAACCAACAGATGGAAGACCTCTCTTTCTGTAATTCTGCCTTTCCAATAATTATTTTTTTTTCCAATTTGACTAATTGATCCGTTATGCTTTTCTCTCATCAACCTGTCATTCATTACATGAGTGTTGGTCACGACCTCTAGGATAGGTGAGTGAAAGGGGTCCCGCTTCCTGGCTCTACAGGCTGAGGGAACAGCAGTCACTGTGTGAGGAGAAAATGCTGGTCAGATAACAAATGGCCACAGACCGACAGTCATCAAGTCCTCCTCTTGTGGTGGGTAGAATGAAAATGCCCACCAGAACCCTGGAAGGCCACATCTTTGTCCCTGGGAAGGTGATGGAAGCCAGGGCAATGTCACAAGCCTGCCCAAAGGCCTCTCGGCTTGGGGAGGGCTGGTGTTAACCACTCAGTTCCGCTGACTGCGTGGCTCTCACCCCAGCAGCCGAGCCGAGGCGGGGGTTGGGCGCTGCAAGGAGAGGAAGACAGAGCAGGTGCACAAGGCCACTCTGACTGCCCCTGCTGCTCACACGGACCCCCACTCGTGCAGGCCAGCTGGGGTCAGAGGCTGGGCAGGAGGCAGGAGAGTACCCAGCTGATTGGGAGGGAAGCACAGGAGAGCCCTGAAAGCAACACAGCAGGTGTTCTTGCCAGAGGTGGAGCTCTTTTGTTGAAGCAAGTGCCACAGGCTTTCAGGTCATGTGTCTTTATAAAAGAAAGGGACCATGGGGGGGGGCGCGGTCAGCACTGGTGAGCAGGAGACTCAGGGCTGGGAGTAGATCTGGCTAGACAGATGGTGGCACCTGCTGGCATGAGTGTGGGCTGCAGAGTGGGGCCAGTTGGGTTGAGCTGGGTTTTAATGCCCACTGACATGTATAAGAGCTGAATGGTATATGGGACAGACCAGGCCAGTCTGCTGCACATCCTGGCAAGCACAGCAACCAGGGCTGGTGGAGGGCCTCGTGGGGATTGTTGGAGTTGCTCCGACTGGGCTGCAGTTCCTACTGGTATGTTGGAGGGCAGAGTGCATGGTGGGCTGGGCTGGGTTGGGCTGTAGCAGCCATTGGTTTACTTAAGAGACAGGGCTGGAGACAGAAACTGATCCAGCAGTTGCAACTACCAGTGTGTATAGGCTGATATTGGTGACAGAGTGAGCCAGACCCCACACTGGCAAGCACACACAAGAGTCAGGCCTGGGATTGCTTCACACAAGGTTTCTTTGGGGATCCCTCCTGCTGGACTGCTGGACTCAGGACTCCAACCATGGGAGAACTGTAGGGTCTGTGATTTGACCGAGGAGTGCATGTGTCAGAACTGGGCCTCCTCAGTGGCTTAGACGGAGCAGTAGACAGCATGCCTAGATGCACGTGGAGGTTATGGCAGTCCATTGGGGCCTGCAGAGGACATCTGGTCCCATAGCAGAGGAAGGAGGGCAGAACAAATTGGTCAAATACCCAGCTAAACATTGGCAGCAAATATGTGGAGGAATGGAGACTCCAAGGTGGACTGTGTCAGCCAATGGACCTTGGAAGGATTTCCTTTTTTTAAGATTTACTTTTTTATTACAAAGTCAGATATACAGAAAGGAGGAGAGACAGAGAGGAAGATCTTCTGTCTGACGGTTCACTCCCCAAGTGAGCCCAACGGCCACTGCTGTGCCGATCTGGAGCCAGGAGCCAGGAACCTCCTCCAGGTTTCCCACACAGGTGTAAGAACCCAAGACTTTGGGCCGTCCTCGACTGCTTTCCCAGGCCACAAGCAGGGAGCTGGATGGGAAGTGGAGCTGCTGGGATTAGAACCGGTGCCCATACGGGATCCTGGTATGACATCGGGTGGCCATTCCCCATCCCTGGGTACTGAGGTGTTGGGATTCCGGGTGCAGCTTCTCCCCTTAGCTCCCTCCTTCCCCTAGATACAGGAGGATGAAATAGAAAATTTGGGGAAAAATAAAAAATTAAATTACACTTTGAAGAAATAAAAAAAACTGAAATAAATAAAAACTTGCCCTATCCCTCCATTATCGTGCCTGCTCAGTCGTTTGATCTTTGTACCCTCACCGAAGGAACTGCTGTGTGGGCTGGTTGTGGGCATTCAGCCTGTGGTTCAGCCAAGCAGGCTGGGAGTTACTGAACACCTCTTGGCAAATCTCTGGAAATATAGTGTGTGTCAGAAGACAGGTGCCCGATCTAACTTGGAAAGTCTGCGTTCCCATTCCCTAGGGGCTTGTACCCCTGCTTTCGCTGTCAGTGCCGGAAGGAATCCTTGTTAGTTTGTTTGCTTCTGTCTTCCAGCGCCCCTCCCCACAACTAGATTGAGCCCCAGGGAGGGCTGTGCACTCCGTACCTGGCATGTAGCAGGTGTTCAGTGACCGAACCAGCACACACCACCTGCTAGGGCTTGGGGCATGGTTTGAGGGTGTCTTCCAGCCCTGATCACAGACTAGGTCCCCCAAGCTTTGTTAATGGTTAACAGGTTAAGGGCAGAAAATGGATGTTAAGTGTGGCCACTCGGGATTATTTCAGGTGAGAAGTTTTCATCTTATGTTAATGATGAATGGATTACAGGTCGAGATTTGAATATTTAATTCTGTCTTCACAGGAAGGCATTAGGTCTCTGGGTTATGCGGGGGAAGGTGGTTTTCTTGAGAGTGTTTGTTGTTTAAGCTGAGTTCCGGCTTGCTGTTCTCCCTGTCTGCTTGCTGGCTTGCCCTGTGGCAGTTCTGGTAGACATATTCCACCTGCCTCAACCTGTCTCGGAAGCCAGGTGACTGGGCTGCCTGATTTTCAATCGTGTATGGCAACAAACCATCCTTGTTAGTAGCTCCTCCCTGGTGTTTGCTGTAGTGACAGGAGGCTAACTAAGTCACCAAGTGCACACGTGTGTGTGTGTGAGTGTGTGAGAGAGAGAGAGAGAGATTTCCTGCACCTGCCACTCAACTCCCCATTTGCCCTCAAGGTGCCACCAACAGTCCAAACTTGGCCTAGGAAGCCATGATGTGGTCAGGGCTAACTGAGGAGACCACTCGCAGCTCCAGGTGCTGGTTTCCTGGATTCCTCTCTTGCCTCCCCCTGGCTAAGTGGTCTTGCGCGGCAAGCTCTTAAGCACGCTGGGCCTTGGGTTGTTGTGGGTCTCGTGTGAGCTCATGTGCGTTTGGTGCCCGGCTCTGAGTAGGACTCAGTATGCAGTGGCTGCTGCTGGATGTCAAATGCAGTGTCTTCCAGCGTCTCTCTGGGTCTCCAGACCCAGTCAGTGCCTGTTGAATGAAGCAGCAGGGAGTGGCCTGAGGATGGGGAGAAGACGCCCACACGTTGCCGTAGATACAGACCTCTCACTAAACCACAACTATTGCTGACTCAGAGACCTTGGCCAAGCTCTGGGAATTCTCCCTCCTAGGGGCTTAAAAATACAGGAAATGAGCCCAGCATAGTAGCCTAGCAGCTGAAGTCCTCACCTTTCATGTTCCAGGATGCCATATGGGCGCTAGTTCTAAACCCAGTGGCCCATTTGGGGAGTGAACCAACGGAGAAAAGATTTTTCTGTAAATACGCTTTTACAATAAAAATAAATCTTTGAAAAATAGATAAGGACGAACCAGGGCGGCAGAGCTTGGGAGCAAAGGAGTTTGTCAGCGCTGCTAATCAGCCAGGTGAGCTGGAGCTCAGAGCTCAACGCTGACACCCCACCTGGCCAAATGGCCCCGCCATCCAGTGTTCCATCCCTCCCACCTCCCATGTCCTAGACACGTGACTCTCAAGCTCTCCCACGCACGAGAATGACCTGGAGACTGGCTAGGCCCCACCCTTGAGACTCAGCTCAGCAGGTGGAAGAGCAGGTGAAGATACTGCTCCTGGATCAGGCTGCGAGGAGCGCAGGACCAGAAACCCCCTTGCTCCCGGGATCCACCAGTCCTGCCTTAGGATCCAGAAAAGCTCCAACACCCCACTCCCCCTGCCAAGGCGTCCTCCCCGCTCCCCTTGCCAAGGCGTCCTCCCCGCTCCCCCTGCCAAGGCGTCCTCCCCGCTCCCCCTGCCAAGGCGTCCTCCCCGCTCCCCCTGCCAAGGCCTCCTCCCCGCTCCCCCTGCCAAGGCCTCCTCCCCGCTCCCCCTGCCAAGGCGTCCTCCTCGCTCCCCCTGCCAAGGCGTCCTGTGAGGCAGCCCTGGGGAGGTGCTGATCCGGCTCTGCAAGCTGCTAGCCAGGGATCCCAATGGTTCCCTTCTCTGGCCCCTCCCAGCACCCCACGTCCCTAGCTGTGTCGCTGTTCCCCACGCATGCTCTTGCAGTTGACATGTGTATTTGTCATGTCTCCCCTTCCCGGGAGCCCTCCATGGTGGCATGCGATGGCACGCTGTGGCACTGTTAGATTTCCCTGGGTGGCTGGAATGGAGTTGGGAATAAGGCCCACCTGCGCACCCCCGTGGTAGAAGGATTAGACTTGTGGTTCACCAGCCGTGGAGCTGTCTCCCAGCAGGGTTGGCCTTGCGGTGCAGGTGCAGTCGCTCAGCTCACAGACACACGCTATGTGAGCGATGGTGTCTGGGATGGCAAATAAGACCCCGGCCGGAGGGATGCAGGTGACTTGGGCACAGTCTCAGCAGCTACTGGCTTTCCCCTGGTCCCTTCTCAGCTTCCCTGGGTGTGACTGCAGGTGCATGAACCCATGATTGCCAAGCTCCTTACTTCTCAGCTCTGCCTCGGTGCCCACGATCCAGACATGCCTCCTGGGCTGGGGCTGGCTCCCCTCCGTTCTGCCTCACCTATGCGATCTGGACCTGTCGCCTCATGCTCGTTCCAGACCAGGTTTTCCAAGTCATTTTAACCTCTGACCCCACTCTCTTCTGTGGGAGTCTCAGGGCACCGGTGTTCTTGGGAACATACACGGGTGCAGGGTCCCAAAGCTTTGGGCCGGCCTCGACTGCCTTCGCAGGCCACAGGCAGGGAGCTGGATGGGAAGTGGAGCTGCCAGGATTAGAACCGGCACCCATATGGCAGACCTGGGGTGAGTTCTTGGCTCTTGCCTAGTTCGAGCTGTGGCAGAGCGAACCAGGGGACACGAGGTCTCTAACAGCTCCTGTCTCTCCTTTGGTGTCTGTGCCCCTTAAAGAAGTACAACGTTCAAAATCCAAAGAAAGCATTGAGCAGTTGCTGACACACAGGGAAATCACATGACACGCAGGGGTGTGTCCACAGCTTTCAAAGCCTGGACCACGGGGTTGATTAAACACTTGGTGGGGATGGGAGGTGGGCACTGCAGCGCAATGGGCAGAGCTGCTGCTCGGGCTGCCCACACCCTGTGTCAGCACAGGCATGGCACGCGGCTGCTCCACTTCGGATCCAGCTCTGTGCTGCACCTTGGACGGCACGACAGCCCGAGTGCTTGGCTTGCTTCCCCTGTGAGGGGAGACCCAGACGGAGCTCCCGGCTTCGGGCTGGCCCATCCCCAGCTGTTGTGGGCATTTGGGGAGTGAACCAGTGAATGGAAGATACCGTCACTCTGCCTTTCAGAGAAATAGATCTTCAAAGCGGGGACATTGGGATGCCTGGCTCTGGAGCTATCAGGGCTCCATCACCCCCTTTCCATTTAGCAACGACAGGACAGGCGTACTCAGGGTAGCAAGCACAGTGGAGTTTCTAACTGGGCACCTGCTCTGGCTGCCAGGGCTGGCTCCGTGGCTCGCCAGCTGGGTCCTGATCTGGGTTTCCCTTGTTGGATTCTGCGGTGTTCTCTGCCCACAGCCACCCCCTATGAGCCCACCCAGCACGGGGCTTGATCGGCCGCGGGCACAGAACTGCGGGCGGCTCAGCTTTCCAGCCCCTGGCTTTGATCTCTTTCAGTGGCCCTGCCCTGGACTCCACCCGATTCCCAGGCATAATCAACGTATTTCGTTTCCTCCCTATCTACCTGTCTCCCTTGGTGCCTGACCCCTGCCCCCTGCCTGATTTTCTCAGAGTAGTAAACAGCTCTGACATCCCAAGGGCATAGTTGAGACCAGTCAGGAATCTGCGGGGTGGGTAGGGGGTGGGGAGAGAGGCTTTTGTCACTGGCAACCCGGTTTGCCCTGGGCAGCAGGGCTGACCCACAATGAGATGCCAGCTGGGGTGAGAGAACTTAAAGGGTCCTCTGAGGTGGCCGCTCAGGCCCGAACCGCTGGGACAGATGTTCGGGTGGGCCATTACAGGTCTGCTCCTTAGTTCTGAACTTGTCCATGAACCTTGTCTCTTTGCATAAAGAACATTCCTGGGCCTGGCACGGTAGCCTTGCCTGGCAACTTTCAGAATCCCATATGGACACCAGTTCATGTCCAACCTGCTCCACTTCCCATCCAGTTCCCTGCTTGTGGCCTGGGAAGGCAGTCGAGAATGGCCCAAAGCCTTGGGACCCTGCACCCACGTGGGAGACCTGGAAAGAACTGCTGTGGCCACTTGGGAAGCAAAACAACAGACTTTTTTTCTCTTTCTCTCTTTCTCTCTGTAAATATGCCTTTCCAATACAAATAAATAAATCTTAAAAAACAAAACAACAAAAAAAGCAATTAAAATTTACCACAGATTATGCATCTCCAACATCTCCTCTGATCCCATTTACAATTCCCCTCTCCTCATCACCAAACCCTCACCTTCCCTTTCATTTCATATTCTTTTCATTTCACCCCTATACAATTTCACATCCCCCCTATTCTATCCCATTCACTCTTTCCCCCTAAAAATTTCCTATTCTTTACATTACCCCCTCAATAATATCCATATCAATAAATCCCCCTACTATTTCCTCAACACATTCACACAAACACCACAAAAAACCAATCCAACCCAAAAACCCACACCCCATCTTAACAAAATACCCCACACACAAACCCCCCACACCAATAAACATCCAAACCTCCTACTCTCCTCCCCCAATCCACCCACCTATCTTCAATCCACCCTCCCCTCACCAATTTAACTCCCAAACCAACCTAAAAAACCATTCCTTCCCCCACCCGTTCCCATTATTTTTACTATCTCCCTCACCTTTCTTTTATACCCCTTCCATCTCTCCTTTTTTCTCCATCTACCATAATTTCAATTCCCCATTTTTCCATTACAACCAATTTTCATCCACCTTCGCATTCCTCTTCATTACACCAAAACCATTTTATATTAGCCATTTCATTTTCCATCCCTCCCTATTCACTTACTCATCATCAACATATTCCTTTCTTATTTACATTACCATTTACATTTTGCGTGAGAAAGTCGGCCTCAGCTGTGCCAGGTCCATCTTTCATCCTGGGATGCCTCGGCTTTCACAGGAGGCTGTTGCAGTGCTGCTATCGCGCAGCAGAGGGCGCTGTCGACAAGGCCATCCCGGGAGACGCAGGTGCGGTCAGTGGGTGCAAGTGCGCAGCTCCTGAGCTCCCGGCCTGCAGCCCAAGGCTCCGGTCCCCGGTTTGCTTTCTCGTTGCGAAGTCACACACAAATCGCCTGGTTTCTCCAAACCTGCGGGCCGGGAAGGCGTCTACGGGGCACGCTAAACGTTGATGAAGGATCCCTGGTCGCTGTTGGCGGTCTCCGGCTCCACGCAGCGTCCCTTCCTCCGCGTGACTCTGCGGTTCCGGTGGAATTTGGCGTAGCAGCGCAGCCCTGGGCAAAGAAAGGCAAGGGGGTCGCGGCAGGAGGGGCCAGTCGCCCTCTTCCCTCCACTCACCTGCTTTATTCTGCGCTACATTCCACCCTTCGCCTGGAAGCCTCAATTAGTTGAACACAGGAGATTGTAGGGAGGGGCCTAAGTGGGGACACTTAGGGCTGTGAAAACACTGGCCTCGCGGCGCAGCAGTGGACACAGGCCAGGCGTTTGCTGGAGCACCTGGAGGGAATCCTCCAACAAACCGCTGACTCCAGTTACAGCGCCTGCAACTAGTAGATGCTCAGCAGGCGCCCACGCTGCCCCAGGTAGACAGGAGGGCAGGGAGAACTGGAGACTCATGCTACCTGTGTACATCAAGAACTGCTCTGAAAACAAACTCTGCAGTTTAAGCCTCGTGAGTAGAGGCTCTTGGAGAACCTTCCAGAACCCAGGCTGGATCCTAAGAGCCTCCCCGGGCACCCCGCTGTGCCTCTACCTTCCTCTGGGGTGAGCTGGGGTGAGAGGACTCTACTCGCTGATGGGGCCAGGACATGCAGAGGACGTGGCAGACCCGCCTTGGGCCCAGGCTTCTTGTCCAGCCGCCTGGAAAGCACCGTGTGCCCTATGCCCCTGGGGGCCAAGGGAAGGGGAAGGAGGGCTGGCAGAGGAAGCATGTCAGCTCACTGGGGTTCCGCTGGCTTGTGGTTCTGCCCCAGTGCTGCTGGTCAGCCTTGGAGTGCATGATCGCTCTAGACCTCAGTACCTGCTCTGTGAAGCCGAGACCCTAACCCTGCACACAGGGAACTGCTCCTTGGTGTTCCCGACCCCAGCTGCTGACTCCCCGGTTCACTTCCCAGCTGGTTCCACAGACCACGTCACTGCTCTGTTCGCATCTGCCAGTGACCCCCCCCCCCCCCAAGGCCAAGGAAAAAACCAACAAAGGCCAACAAGATCATGTGCAGTGCTTCTGGAAGCTTCTGGAAGCTTCTTTTACCTCCCCTGTAGGTCGATATGTGCCCATGCCAGGCTTGTGTCTCTGGAACCTCTGCCTTTATACCCCACCTCCTGCCAGGAACTGCAGCCCTTCACCTGCCACCCCCCCCCACACACACACACACACCACAGCACGTGCAGGCAGCTGGCTCCAGTATCCGTTTCATCCATGCCTTCTGAACCCACTCCAGCCCTCATGATTTTATCAGCCTGAGTTATTTTCTTACAGCCCTTACTACTTTCCGCAGACAGCTTATCTCTGCTTTCTGCCCACTCAGCTCCCTGGAATGGAATGTGGAGGCGCAGAGCTGGCGGAGTGTTTTCAGCCAGGGTTCAGCTCGGTGGCCGCACCTCACAGGTGCTCCGGGCTTCTTCCCCCCTTGATGAATGGATAACCAGAGCTAAATGGCTTTGTTGCTTTCACAGCAGATCGTTTTCAAGCGAAATGTCACCCAACGAGGACGTGCAGGTCAAGTTCGGAGAGGGGCTGGCTACTGGATTCTCCCATGCGGGAGACAGGGACGCTGGTTGGACATTGGATGGGATGAAGTTATCATTGCTCCAGTGCGGGATTTGTTCTCCTTTTGCTTGTTTGTTTTAGAAATGTATTGATTTGTTTTAAAGGCAGAGTTACAGAGAGAGAGGGACAAGGGACAGACAGACAGATCTTCCATCCACTGGATTCCTCCTCGAACGGCTGTAACAGCTGGAGCTGGGCCAGACAGCAGCAAAGGGCTTCATCTGGAAGGACCCAAGCACTGGGCCATCCTCTGCTGCTTTCCCAAGTGCATTAGCAGGGTGCAGGATCAGAAGTGGAGCAGCTGAGACTTGAACTGACATTCATGTGGGATAAGGACACCGCAGGTGATGGCTTAACTCCACTGTGCCACAACACCAGCTTCAAACATTTATTTTAAAAAGTGTGCTTCCAGGGTCCAGTGCGATAGCCTAGTGGCTAAATCGTCACCTTGCTTGTGCCAGGATCCCATACCAGTGCTGGTTCATGTCTCAGCAGCCCCACTTCCCATCCAGCTCCCTGCTTGTCGCCTGGGAAAGCAGTAGAAGACGGCCCAAAGCCTTGGGATCCTGCACCCACATGGGAGACCCAGAAGAAGCTCCTGCCTTTGGATTGGCTCAGCTCTTAACATTGCAGCCACTTGGGGAGTGAATCAGCGGATAAAAAATCTTTCTCTCTGACTCTCCCACTCTCTGTAAATCTGCCTGTTTAATGAAAATAAATAAATGTTTAAAAGAAAAACACAAGAGCAGCAGCAGCAACAACGTGAGCTTCCAGCAGCCAGCATGGTGGCACAGTGAGCTAAGCCTCCACCTGTGACACTGGCGTCCCATATGAGCATCCATTTGAGTCTTCTGCCACCCAGAGGCCCGGAGGAAGCTCCTGGCTTCTGGCTTCAGCCTGGCCCAGCCCTGGCCATGGAGGCCATTTATAGAATAAAACAGTGGCTGGAACATTTCTTTCTGCTCTCTCTTTCTCTCTGCTTCTTTCTCCCTCTGTCATTCTTTCAAATCTACACATATTCAAAAGAAATGATTCTGGAGACATAGACTGAAATGTCCACAGATAACGTTTCTGTAGCTCCCAGGAACTGCTTCAGGATGGCACCGGATGTGGGGGTGGGATTCGATGCCAATGGCTGAGGCCGGGGGGTGGGGGAGGGAGACGGGATCTCGGATACTGGCAGGTGCTAGCATCGCCTCCACATCTTTCAGGACACATTGAGAATTACCCGCTTTTCTAGCTGTGTGGGTTTCGGCAGGTTGCTTTGAGATTCCTGGACCTAAGCAGGTTGATCTGTAAAGAGGGCGTCCTAAGGGTACTCGTGCGGGAGGGTCTGGTACGAGGATGCTCGGCATAAAACCTGGCGTGCTTGGGTGAGGCGGCAGCTGGGAGGAGGGGGAGGAGGCATCAAGTGTCTCCAAGCCTGGGTAGAGTCGGGAACCCCATGCCCATTGGCTCCCCTGCCCCACCCCGTCTGGGGTGCAGAGACTCCTGCCCTGGGCTGGATTTCTGGTGTGACAGCACAGCTTTCTTGGGTTGGCTCTTATTTAAAGAGATAGGCTCCTGGCCTCCAGATCGGGAAAGATGACGCCAGCTTGTGTGTCGAGAGGTGAGAAAAGCAAATCTGAGAAGCGATGCCAAGAGCCCAGACTAAATGAGTTCACAGATTGGGGAGGCTTGGAGCTAAGCTGTCCTCAACTCCCCAGGGATTCCCTGCCATCTCAATCCCCCCTCCTTCCCCACAGGGCCCTCCCTCCTCCCACCCCGCCCCACGCTAGGAAATCAAGCTCTAAGGTCCTCCAAGGCCAGGGAAGGCCCCCCCGCTCGCGCTCTCCTCCCCACCACCAACCTGCCTCCTCTTTCCCGCATCCGGAACCCACACGTACCTTCCACACACATGCAGTCGTCAAAGCATTTGTTGTTGAGGCCACGGTTGTGGGGTGTGCAGACTCGCTCCCGTAAGTCGCAGCAGGACCCTGCCCCCACAGCAAGAAAGAGAGTAGGGTCAGCCCAGCTGAGCCACCCCACCGCCCCCCACGCCTCCACCCCAACAGGTGATCCATCATCGCTGTGGCAGGCCAGACCCCAGGCAGGGTGGGAACCATCTGCTCTGCCTGCCTGGCTGCCCCACTGGAACCGCAGAGGGATGTCTCGGCCCAGGCTCCTTGTCCTTAGCCTGTCTCGCTGGGGACAGCTGCTGAGCAGCGGAGTACTGGCAGTGCCTGGAGGCGTGGCAGTGCCAGGATGGGACAAGACAGAGCGCAGTCCTACCACGTGCTAGGAGAAGAGGTTCAAGGTGCCATGGAGCCAGGGGACCCAGGTTTGAGCCACTTTCCTGCTATGTGATCCCGGGACAAGACGTCTCATCTCTCTGGGGCTGGCGAGCTGTCTGAGAACCAAGGCTGACCACAAACAAGCCTCTTTCCTGAGAGCCCTAAGCTATGATGTGACTGAATTAACGCAGGCCGACAACTCTCAGGAACATGGCAGACATGGCTCAACAGACCATGCTCAGCCGCCTGGGGGTCCCCACCCCTCCCAGCACCCCTCCCAGCACCAGGGGCTGCTGGCTACTACCTGGCAAGCAGTCCTGGTGATGGCTGCATGATTCCTCCTCAGCAGGCGAAGTCTGGTTGCCGTCACTGGACGGCAGTGGCCTCCAGTGCTTCTCTGGGGATGAGAAGATCTGTCGTCAGCATCTGGGGGCCAGCTGAGCCAAGAGACTAAGCCCAGGCCCTCGGCCCCACAGCGCAGCTTGGGCCAGACTCACAGCTTCTCCCTGCCTCCGTTTTCTCTACAATGGGATCACAATAGCACAGTCCTGACAGGTGGCTCCCTCCTTCCCTTGCTCCCTCCCTAGGGTCGTGGTTGACCTCTGGAAGCACTGGGCGTGTCAGATGCACCTGACTCCATTTTCTAGTCCTGGCATGAATTTCAGCTCAAACCCACACCTCCCCGCCCTGACTTGGGAGACCCGCGGGTTAGACTGGGCTCACTGGGCCACTTTCTGCCCCAGCAGGGGGTGACAAAGGCTGGGAGGGGACCCCTGGCACAGGTGGGGGGGTACCTTTCTTCTCTGCAGAGGGCCACACTTCAGGTTTTAAGTCCTCATAATCGGTCCAGTCGAACAAGGCCATGTCCAGTGTGGGCGTCACCTCCCCGTCCTGCCGGGGCTGTGCCTGCTGAGGCGGGGAGAGACGGGAATGGACAGCAGCAGGAAGGGGGGGTCCCCAGGGTAGAGGGTGATGGAGGGGCTCCTTAGAGCGCACCCCCATGGCCTCAGTCCTCCGTGGGGTCACTTGGAGGGGGCTGTCCCCAATGCGGACATGGAAGATGAGTTCCCCATGAGGCCCCCTGGGGGACAAGGGGTCCCTGGGAGATGGCAGCTGTCCAGCAGGCCACTCCACCCTCGAGGAGGAGGAAGGGAAGTAGCTCTGTCCCTTCCTTTCCCCCCTCCCTGACTCTCCATGATGCCACTGCAATCATGCCAGTCAGTGCTCGCTGGTGAAGAGGTGTGGGTGAACAGATGCAAAGTTTTCATCACAGCCTCAAGGGGGCGCAAGACTCAAAGAGGCCTAGAAAGTTTTATGGCTAGTATTTCTTTCCTTTCCTTTTCTTTTTTTTTTTCTTTTCTTTTCTTTCCTTTTCTTTTCTTTTCTTTTCTTTTCAAGATTTCTTTTATTTTTATTGCCAAGTCAACTATACAGAGAGGAGGAGACACAGAGAGGAAGATCTTCTGTCTGATATTTCACTCCCCAAGTGACCGCAACGGCCCATGCTGCGCCGATCCAAAACCAGGAACCAGGAACTTCCTCCAGGTCTTCCACGTGGGTACAGGGTCCCAAAATTATGGGTCATCCTTGACTGCTTTCCCAAGCCACAAACAGGGAGCTGGATGGGAAGCAGGACTTCTGGGATTAGAACTGGCACCCATATGGGATCCCGGCCGTGCGTTCAAGGCAAGGACTTTAGCAGCTAGGCCATGCTGCTGGGCCCACAGCTAGTATTTCTTACTGATCTGGAGCAAGCGGACGGTGTTAATGAACGCTCATCGCGTTCTGGGCCATGGGAGCACAGCTCTAACGACTTTGAATGAGGCAGGTGCTGTGGCACAGCAGATAAAGCCGTGCCTTGTGAGCCGGTGTCACACCGCAGTGTTGGTTTGCGTCCTGGCTGCTCCCACTCCCTGCTAATACACTTGGGACAGCAGTGACGGAGGTCCCCATTGCTTGCGCCCCTGCCACCCATATGGGAGATTCAGAAGGAGTTCCTGGCTCCTGCAGCCGCCGGGGAGCGAAGTAGTACATCAAAGCTTGCTTTCTCTCTTTCCTTTCCTCTCTCTAACTCTGCCTTAAATAAATATTGGTAAAAATCACCAATGTTCTCTCTCTGTATGTGTACAATTCTCCCCAAATGTGCCGTGCCCTGCATGCAGAAGCAGCTTGCCAAGCTGGCACCTGCTTCCTCGGCTGTCCCTGCAGTGGACCTCCAGGGCCACTTTGTGCTGGACAATGATTCCTGGGCTGGGAGGGCGCGCCTACCGGGGCCGGCGCTGGCTGCACAGGCAGCAGGACACCCCACAGACAGCCGCCTAGGTCGGTGGCCTCTGTCAGTTCCCTCCTGTGGCTGTGCCCTGCCTCCCTTGGGGGCCCCTTACCTGGGGCAGCAGGGAGGGGGCAGGCAGGATGAGGGACTCTTCCGTAGCAGATGCTGCCTCCAGGGTGGCCAGGAAGAGCATGGTGGGCGCCAGGCTGGTGGAGGAGTCCTCCATGGTGGCATCCAGGGTCTGGTCATCAAAGGGTTCGGCCTTCTTCATGAGGGAGCTGGGGCCTCGGACCAAGGCTCGACCTGAGACACGGGTGGAGGGCAGGGCGTGGGAAAGAGGCCCCAGGGCTCTACCTGCCTGCCCTCTCCTTCCCACTTTCCTCAATGCCAACACCGGGACAGCAGGGATCCTGTGACAAGCCAGCATTCTGCACCTGTCCCCGGGCTTGTAGGAGATGGCAACGGGAACCTCAAGCAAAAATCTTGGCTACCTTTGCAGGGGAGCTGGCCTGAGCATTCTCCCTATAACGCAGCATTCTGACAAGTTCAAGATCAGTAGGGTGGCTACAGCCAGAGACAAAGTATAGCAAAGCCCCGCTTCCATGCTGCAGAGACTGGGGGTACTGGGCTGAGGGGGGACCAAGTCCCCATGCCAGGCATGCCGGCTGGCTTGTGCTCAGGAGCGCCAGCACACTGCCCTTCCTCCTCGGGGTGACAGACTGAAGGTGGAAGCTGGCACCCCGCTGGGCATCTCTCCTTGTGAGGTGTCTCAGTCTGGCAGGGAAGCAAGCCGAACTCTCTGCAGGGGAAGGGGGCTGAACCCCTATGCCCCCTCCCAAGGGACACCCCGCCGCCTTCCTTCCAACGCATCAGTGGCACTGGCCTGTCCCTAGAGGCAATCTTGTCCCAGGAAGAGACAAAAGCTCTTTTATGGGCCAGGTGAGACTGGGGAGGAACTGCCTGGAGACAATGGGCCACGGGAGGGGCTGGCTGGGCAGCTCCAGGGGACCCAGGGTTGGCGGGAGGGGGGGGGACTGTGACATCCCTCCTGAGGTCCCTAGGGGTACAGGCTGGTGCCTCAATTCAGCATTTCCAGGGAGCTGATTCACCCCTGCCTGCTAAGCACTCAGCACCCCAACCTTCCAGCACCCCGACTTGACAGCGCCATCATGATGCAGAGGGGTTAACAGAAGCCAAGCCCAAAAAGGTCACTTGCGCAGGGCCACATGACTCTGAGGTGCTGGGGCCAGAATCAGACAAGGAATTGAGATGATTAAGGGGTGTACTTGGGAGGCACCAAACTGTGCCATCCCTCCTGGGGAGTGACAGGAGGCTAGATCTAGGTCAGATAGCAGGTGGAACTTCCCGAGTCAGAAGGGAGTTTGCTGACAGGCTCTAGTGTCCAACCAACTCCTCCTCACCAGCTCCGCCCCAGTCTCCTCCCCTAGCCACACCCCTCTCAGGGAGCACTTCCCTGACCCCTTCCTCCCAGCCTGCCTTGCTGGCAGGACCCCTCCCGCCAGCCGAGGGGCTACCTCTGTGCTGTCTCAGCCGGTCCCTGCGCCGCTTCTGTTCCCGGCCACGTTTCTTCACCCTCTCCCACCCTGGAGAGCGGTCCTCCTTCTTGGCATTGGGCAATGCCAGGTCCAGGAGCAGGTGCTTGTCCTGTGTCAGGCCTGCAGGACTCTGTTCAGGCAGCGGCTTCCCAGCTCCTGGCAGCCCTGAGTTCTGCCTGTTGGCAGTGACCACAGCCCCATCCTGGGCCTGGCCTGGCATGCCAGGGCCCCGCTCTTTCTTGCCTGGACCCCTCCGCCGGAGGTGGCGGGCTTGAGGCTCCCACAGGGCAGGGCCTGGGAGCTCGATGTGATTCTCAGGGAGGTACCGAGTGAGGGTTCCAGGTGCCAGGGAGCTGGCCAGGCTTAGCTGCAGGACGGTCAGGAGGCTCAGGAACATCATAGGGGAGGCAGGCATGGTGGGGTTCTTCCTGCAGGAAGCAGGGCAGGAGAGCGTCAGCCCCTTCTACTGCCACCCCTCCCCCACTTCATCATAGCTCCCTGGTTTTGTTTTTTCTGCTTGGTGATTGGCTTTGCCACCCAGGAACATTTGGCAGTGCCAGGAGAGGTCCTTGATGGTCAAAGCTGGGGGCAGGAGTGCTTCCGGCATCCCTGGGGTAGAGACCAGGGGTCCTGTCTGTACCCTGCAATGCCGAGAAGCCCCCAGCTTCCGGCCCAGGGGTCACCCCACTGGTTTATTCCTTGTCACCCAGAATTCCCCACTCTGTCCCATGCCAAGTCTCCCGGTACATGGCTGAGTTTCCTCTTCCCAGACTCAGAAATCACGTGTGGTCCCAAGACTTGACCGGAAGCCCAGGTTCAAACAGACACAGTGGCAGTGCCCAGAGTCAGTGCCCTGGGCAGCCAGTATACTGGCTACGGGCTAGCTTGGAGACACACCAACACAGATCTACCTGCATACCACAAAAGCAGCTGCGTGATGCAATTAGGGCTCACAGGGGTGAGGTCATGCCTTCCAAGTTACCCCAGTGTCTGTGAACACTCCAGTGTGTGAACAGCCGGCATTGCCTCCCCCTGCTCCTCCCCGACAGGCTCTGCCAGGACCCCTGCTAGGGCAGACAGTGCTTTGCTGGTAGTTCTGCAGAGTGGACCCTCGCTGCAGGCTGCTGTGAGCCTGCTGGAGGGGGCCGGCGGCCAGGATCCTCCCTCCACCAGGGGAGGGGGAAGCAGGCCCTGGGGTGGTGGCGAGGGAGAAGCAGCTGTGGGGCCAATGGGGGATCTGTGGCTTTGGGGCCCCCCAGCCCCTCCTCTGCACCTACTTGCTGCATCAGCACAGGCGGACAGCACCAGGTTAGCCAGGCTGATTGAATTCTTACGACCTCCCCCAGGCCTCCTGAGTATCCCATTAGGTTCGCAAAGGTGCTTACACCACTGTTCTTTGTGATTTGTGGCCATGTAATTGCCCAGGGCTGAGGAGGACAGCAGCCGCCCCAAGGCCAGCCGGCAGCCGGGCATCTTGCCTTCCAGCCCACCCCCCTGCTGGCCCTAAGCCAACTCCAGGGAGCAGCAGGAGGTGAGGGGAGGAGGCCCTGTATCCATCTCAGAGCCTTCACCAGGCTCCCTGAGGGGAGCAGGGACCAGCCTCTTCTCACCCCAGCAGACAGACACAGCGGGGCCCATCCACCTGCAGCTCACACCTCACAGGCCCACGATCCCACGTGTCAGGCCACAGCCTGGAGCCTGGAACTCCACCCAGGGCTCCTGCGTGGGTGACAAGGGCCATCACCCACTGCCTGCCAAGGTGTGTGTTAGCAGAGAGCTGAGGCGGCATTCTATGCAGGCACTCCAGTGTGTGAGCGGGCATCCCAAGGGGTTCCTCAAACCCCCTGCCCACGACGGCCTCCCACTATGCCCCTCCTCCCACTCTCCCCAGACTCCACTGCCTACAGCCCCGCTCTTCCTGGGCCAGGAGGACGGGTCCTGTCACTGTCCCCCATCACAGGGCTTGCCCGAAGGCCCTGTCTGTGCCTGGGGCGACACGTGGCATGCTGGGCTGGACTTGTGGTGACAGGTGACATCGTCTGTCTGCCACACTTCCATGTGCCTCTGTCTGTATAGTCCTCACCTGACAGCCAGGCCCTCGGCCTCACCCCCAGCTTTCCCCTAATGAGGGCCCCCCTCTACTCTCCCAGGCCTGTGCTCTGGAATGCCAGCAGCCCCCTAGGAGGAGGTGAGCCCACTTGAAAGGCCTGTCAGTTAAGCACTGCTCTGCCCAGAGCCAGCCTGCGCCTTCCCTTCCCCCAAGATTGCAAAGGCACAGAGGGATGGGACCCCGCTCCAAGACCCAGCCCGACCCTTCTGCCCTGCAGGGACACCAAGAGCCTGGGCCAGGCCTGGAGGACAGCCCCAGGACAGGGAGCCTTGGGGGCCTCAACTTGGAACAGAGCCACCTCCCTGGCCCCACAGGCAGAGAAGTGAGGCAAGGGACACAGGCAGCAGAGCAGGCGAGGCAGTGCACATGCGGGCAGCTTGTTGTGTCCCTGCTGCTTGATGCCTTCAACCAAGAGGGGTATGAAGGACTGGCCATGCGTGTCCTAGGCCGTTCCACGCAGGGGCGGTCTTAGGTGGAGAGAAGGTCCCTGTGGGATGAACAGTGCTCAAGCCCAGTTCCCAGCCAAGGCAGGAGGAGACTGCATGGCAGGAGGGCTCGGTGTGTGCGCACACACGCTTGCACTGGCGAGGCAGGCTGTGAATTGAGGGGCTGGGAGCTGGGCATGCTTAGTGCCTGTGGGCTTAAGCAGTTCTCCCAAGAAAGTCCAAGATGGGGCAGCTGCAGAAGAGCAGGAAAGCCCATAAGGAGGAACTGTAGAGTTGGAGTGTTGAGGGGACATTGGTGAGCGGGTAGGGGGGCAGAGGCGGAAACGAAGCCCTGCCCACCCAACATCCCGCCACGCCCGCCCCATCCCAACAGACAAACCCCTCTGTGAATGAGGATTGACTCACCGCTCTGTGGAACCCGGACCTTGGTGCCTCCTTTGTCCCCTCCCACCCTGTGTACCCCACGAACCACTCACATGCCAGGCTGGGGCAGAAAAGGAAGATTCCCATGCCCGGTGCCAATGCACCCATGGAAGCTGGGTGCCGTCCTCCCCAGCCCCCCACCCAGGTGCTGCCCTGACCATGACTCCCAATGCCTTGGACTGTCTATGGCCCACAGGTGCCCTCCTGCCCCATCACACGTTCCTCCCTCGGATGCCCAGGACCTTGGATAAGGCAACCCCGACTTCTGCCATCCCCTGCCTATCCCTCACCTTTGTTTCTCTCTCTGCACCCAGGATGGAACCACCTGTCCCCTCTGCCTTTCCCTTGCTCTGCCCCAACCCTGCCAGTCCACCTCCAGGAAGTCTCCTTTAAGGGCCACTCAGTATGCTCCTCCCTCAATGCTCCCTGGTGGCTTTTCAGCGCTGGGACTGTCAGCTTTCTGATGGGCTCTGCCTCAGGGCCTGTCACTCCTCCAGGGCCCTACAAATAACAGCCATGCTGATCACGGATCAGAACAGGAGTAGGCAGAGCACAATCAGATTTATCCCGAGCAAAAGATCATAAAGAAATTCCCAGGATGTGTGTGTGTGTGTGTGTGTGTGTGTGTGTGAGAGAGAGAGAGACTTGGGGGGGTGGGAACCTTCGTGGGTTCCTCTCTGCAAGTCCATGGGATTGGCATAGGGATCTTGGCAATGCCGTGCCAGACTGGCAGGGAGCCACCTAGGAAACATGGGCTGCTACAGAAGTTGTGCCAAGGATCCCTGGTGATGCAGGCTCCAATCCGCGTCCCTCTGTAAGCCAATGTCACAAAGCACCCCAGCATCCCGGTGATGGTGACAAGGGAGGCAGGTGCTCCTCTCTCACCACCCCGGCGGTTCACAAAGCCTGCAGCGCTCTGGGCTGGCGCACCTCTGCCCAGACTGGAGCCTGAGCTCTGGGGTCGTCCAACTATGTCAGGGCAGCCCCCCGCCCTTCTCAGAGCTGGGAGCGGACAGTTTTGGCTAAAAACCCAATGAAGTAAGACAAAGGCGGTAAGAAGCCTCCCCTCGCCTGCTCCCAAGCAGCTGTGCAGCCCCCGCCTGGCCTGTTTGATCCAATCAATGGCCTGGCATGCCAGGTGCTCGTGTTTGCAAAGCAAGAAACTGAAGCACAGTGGTGGGTGAGCCGCAGCTCCAAGGCAGCACACAAGTGAGGGGTCGAGCCCCTGTCAGGGCCTGGGCTCTGCGGGCCTCTGTCCACCTGGGACAGAGCTTCCCCCACGACCACCGCCCTCCTCTCCTTCGCCTGTTCTGGTTGCAAGGGGCACCTCCATCCTTGAGGGTCCAGGTCCCTGCACCAGGCACCGGCAGCCAGGGAAAGTGAGTTGAAGGACCTGCCTCACGGCCCCATCAGCCACCTGTGGGGAGAGCGGTCCCACCCAGGAGGTTGCTCGGAAGCCCATCATATGCAAATGAAGGTAATTACCAAGCCTGGGCCTCCCGCGACTCCTGAATCCCCTCCTCCAACAGCTTTGCTTTTGGAGCCTGGAAGTCGGAGGAAGGGGGGTGGCAGCAGGAGCTCCCCCACCCCCACCATCCTAGCAGCCAACTATGGCGTTCAGGCCACCTGGCTTCCCAAGACAGCTGTACGGCCAGCATCTTCCCCTCTTAAGTGGGAGGGGCGACGGGGGGTGGGGAGGGAAATGGGGAGACAACGAGGGAGGTGCTGGCGGAGGGCCCGGGGCCTATAGGAATCCTGGCTCAGGGAAATGATTAGGCTGTGAACCAAAAACATCACCTGCTCTGAGAATCGGGCCCCAGCCCCTCCTGCGGGAAGGAACAGCTTGAGTAGCTGTGGCATTGGGTCTTTGCATTTCAGGGTTCCCTGAGCGTCAGGCTCTAACCCTCCTGTCAAAAATGCTTCTTTGGGGCTAGCCTGATGGTGTGTCAGGTTAATCCTCCATTTGTGATGTCAGCATCCCATATGAGCTCTGGTTCATGTCCTGCCTGTTCCACTTCCAGCCCAGCTCATGCTTATGGCCTGGGAGAACAGCACAGGATGGCTCAAGTCCTCGGGCCGTTACATCTACATTGTGGGAGACCTGGAAGAAGCTCCTGGCTCCTGACCCACTGGCTTTTGCAGTCATTTGGGGAGTGAGCCAGTGGATGGAAGATTTTTCTCTATCTCTATACATCTACCTGTCAAATAAAAATAAATCTTTAAAAATAATTCTTAAACTATTTCAACAACTGCAGTGAAAGGGACAGATGCTCTCAGGTACATTTTCTGTCCAATTTTCCACAGGTACAGGCTTTGGCTCATGGGAAAGTGTGCAAAGGGGCATGGCGAGTGAGCACAAAGTCTGTGGAGGCCGATGCCAGGGCCAGCAGCCCGGGTGAACAAACTCAGGTTGGGGCTGGAGGTCATGGTGCAGTG